GGAGTAACTCAGGTAACCTGTGGGTCATTCCGGAAGACACGTGGGAGTGGCGAGGAACAGGGACTTTTATTTTTAGGGAAACAGGGTGAATAATGTTTAACCCATCCTGAGCTAGAAGTGCAGCTTTGAAAGATACCTGAGAAAATAACAGAGAATCACATGTCACTATTTCCTGGCTTGAGTGTAACATTAACTCAACTGCCATCTAACCTCATCAGGAAATGTGCACATGCTGGATCCTTTAGTCATTCCTATCAAATGCTCTGCAGCTGCAATTACGTGCCCCGCCCCCAACATTGTTACCACATAAGGAAGAATCATGAGCACTATTTTATACATGTAAGACTTCAAGAGCTTCCAATCCAAGTTGACATTTCAGTTCCTAATTCCTCTATTAAATTAACTTCAGAATTACAGAAGTAACATATGCTCATGGTAACACATAAAACTATATGCAGGTACATAATGCAAAAGAAGTAATCCTCTGTCCCTACCCCACACAGGGACTGTGTGCATATCTTTCGATACTTCTATTCATTCTGTCAAAAAACAAAATTCAACCAAGTAAATTTGGAGACCTAACTGGCTTTGTTAAAGGATTCAAGAATGGAGTAGCATCCCATTTAGCAAGTAGAGAGGAGCTCTGAGCAGTTGTATAAAGTGGTTTTTATAGGAAGGAGGGTGGGGCAAGAAAGTTATTACTAAAAAATTAAAAAAAAAGGATAGTTTCAGGCAAGGGCACTTTCCTTTAGGGAGAATGGTGGGGGGGGGCTTTTTTTTTTTTAAGATTTTATTTATTAATTTGACAGAGAGCTAAAGAGAGAGCAAAAGTAGGCAGAGTGGCAGGCAGAGGGAGAGGGAGAAGCAGGCTCTCCACTGAGCAGGGAGCCCAATGCAGGGCTCAATCCCAGGGCAGATGTTTAACCGACTGAGCCACCCAGGTGCCCAGGGTGGGCAGGGGGAGCTCATCATGCAGATGATCTCATCTTCCCGTGAGGGATGGAGGGTCCATGTGGCAGACTCATTGGCACCCATCAGAGAATTTCTGACTAACTCCTTAAGGCTACTTTACTGGGGAAGGTTGAAACTGCAGCTAGATTAGGTAAAGGCCTGGTTTGGGGACTCAACCAAAGTGACACCATTTGGGGCCTGTGGTTTTCTTTTGTAACAATTCATTTATCAATACTGTTGAGCTCCTGTGCTAGGCATTTTTCTAGGCACCTAGGATCAAACAATGAACAAAGCAGAGATTCTTTTCCTTGTGGAACCTATAGTAGAGGAGAAAGAAGCCATTCAAATATAATTTTTTAAAAAGAAAGAATGAAGTCTCTCAGGCAAATATCAGAGTCACAAGTTGATCACCTTTTCAGTGATGCTCTCTTTGGAGATCCATCCATCTAAAGTAACTCCCTTTCCTCTCCTGTCTTCTCCCTACCTTTTTGCTCACTAAAACATTAGGGTGGCAGTATGCTACCATGGTTAAGAATATGAACTCTATAGGCAAACTACTTTATGACATTACTAGCTGTGTGACTTGGTTCGACTTAACTATTAGTGGTGGGTTCCTTCCTGGCCTCCGTGCTGACTTTGGTTATTGAGTTCAGCCAAGAAAGAATTCAGAGCCAAACTCTCAAGTAAGCAAGAGTTTATTATAAAATCCAAAAGCGCAGGTACACTCTCAAGATGGCAACCATACTGAGGGTCTGGGTGTCTTTTCTTTTTATCCTGGCATGGCTTATGGGTGGTCTCCATAGCTAGGGTGGTCTCCAACCAAGGGTGCTTTCAGTCATCTAAGGGACTCCTCCTAGTTGTTGAGAGGGGGAGTTTTGGCCCTATATGGCCCTTGTCAGAACTGTCATGGCAGCCATCCTCCCTAAGAGGGGTCAAAACTGCAATGTAAAGGTATTATAACGAAGCTATAGGTTACTGTAGGGCTGCTGGTTATAGGGAAGAATGCATGCATATCCTCCAGGGGTCTTTTCCAGTTCTTTGTGCCCTGGTGGTGGTGGTTGGCAGTTTCTTGGATTTTTGTCTTTTTAATGGTTGGAAAGTCTCAGGGCACCTGGGTGACTCAGTCCATTAAACATCTGCCTTCAGCTCAGGTCATGATCCCAGGGTCCTAGGATGGACCGCATTGGGCTCCCTGCTCAGTGGGGCGTCTGCTTCACTCTCTGTCTCCCCCCACCCCCGCTTGTGCTCCTGCTCTCTCTCTCTCAAATATATAAATAAATAAAATCTTTTAGAAAAATGGTTGGAATGTCCTATTCCCTGAGCATATCTAGCTAACTGCCTATCATAACCTCTCTGTACATCAGTTTCCTCATGTGTGACATGCTGTTGATGTCTGGCTTAAGTGAATTAAACTCCAAGATATGCCTCTTTGGCATATTTGATTATTCTAAACTGATTATTTTTAAGAAACTGCAGATCTAGGAGGAGTTCTAAAAACTGAGTAGAAGTTACCCTTTTGTAAGAGATATTTACATGTAGAAGGGAAATTTCCATTCACAAAAGAGGGATGACCCTACATCTCTAGAAACTGTTATCAGTGGAAAAGGATTTAAACCTTATCCTTGTTTACTGGGCTTTTCTTGGTAACCTTCCAAAAATGCCCCCCTTCCAAAAATGCCTCCACTCCTTCTGTCTTTAGCTGGAGATAGTATTTAAGGTGATGGTTTTGGTCATTTGGTGAGTTACTTAGTTTTCCTGAGTCTTTCCCATGTGTACAGGAGGTATACATGTTATTAAACTTTTGTTTGATTTTCTCATGTCAACTTAATTCTTAGTACAGCTGGAAGAATCTTGAAGGGCAGAGTAGAATTGCTCCTCCTCAACACCTTGTTTTACTTTTTAATAGAACTTACCATTATACAAACTGACCTTTGTTCATTTATATGCTTAGTGTCTATTTCTCCCCTTACCCATCAGCCCCCTAAAATTTGAGGCCTGTGAGAACAGGGAATTAATCTTGCTTTGTTTGCTGATGTTTCCAGTCTGCAGAGCAGAGGCCAGTACACCAGGAACATTTATAAAGTATTTGCTGTATTGAGTAAGTAAACAAGAAGCAAATGTCAGGAAAGCCTTAGAGGAATCAGGAAAGTGTAGTCATTTAACTCATGTCCAGCTTCAGACAACAGTGGCTTGAAACTTGTAGGTTGTTGGTGGTGGGGCAGGGTACTTTGCAAAACTAAGATAACATTTCTAGCATTAAGCTACTCACACATCCTCTATCACTTAAAAAGAAAAAAAAAGTTTTATTTGGGCCCCTTGAGCCCACTTTTTTGCAATGATTGTGTCTTCTTCTTCCTTCTTTTCTTAGTGGTCAGCACAGTACCTGACACAGGAAAGGTGTATGTTAAATATTTGTGGAGTATTTAATAATAATTTAATTTAATAATTTAATATGTTTGTAAATCTGTAACATGAGGTTTACGTTCAGCAACATTTGTATAGTGTTTAGAGTTTACAAAACAGGCCAATATTCCGTACAACATGGATATCATGGTGTCTGTTGTCAACTTTAAATTATTTCAGCATTGACAGTATAATGTTCTGTGTGGGTTAATTGGTTGAAGCTATGCCCTAGAAGCAGCTAGCATTCTGGTAATCAGGAATCCACACTCCAGAGGTAGCTAGCTTGAATCATACTAGAAAGGCTACATTCCAGAGATGGAACTACAAATACTTTAGCCATTTGGATTTCTGATGACACCGGATGTTTTGTTAATTATCATAATGAGTGTCAGAAACGGGTATTTATTGGCAAAAATAACAGCTTATTAATTATCATGATGAATACTAGAAATGGACTTCCAAAAGAATTCAAGATAGATGAATTGTTTAAAATATTTTAGAAAATACTCTCCACATCTGAATAAATGGGGTCTGAAAATTCAAGGTGTCCTCAGCCTTTGGGGATGCCGTCTGAGGCTGCGTCCCTAATGGTGCTCGCTCTACCACTGGTCTGGAAGATTTCTGGTTGCCAGATACTGACTACACTGATAACAGAATCCTGCCTCTGGAGCACTGCTCTTCTGGTTCTCAACTTTCTAGTGCAAGGTGGTGGTCACTCTGCCCAGAACTGTATTCTACCCACAAGTGATACAGAGCATTAAAATATGGTTAGTCCAAATTGTAAAAAAATACAGTATCAGATTTGAAGACAGTACCAAAGTGTAAAATATCTCAACAATTTTTCATATTGAATGCATGTTTAAATGACAATCTTCTGGATAGATTGTGTTTAAATGTGTTAAAATGAACTTTACCTCATTTTTTTTTCTTTTACTGTTTTTAATGTGGCTACTAAAAATTTAAAGTTACATAATGTGGCTTGAATTCAATTTCTATAGGACAGTCCTGACCCAGAACAGAGCGCTCAGCCTTTGTCAAGCTTATCCAGCGGATTAAATACCGTATGTCGGCTTCCTAATAAACATTTGTTCAATACATTTCTGAATAAGGAGCAAAATTTGGCCTATTTTCACTTAACCGCATGAAGACATTGTGGGATGCTTATCCATCTTAAACCTTTTCAGCTACCAGAAACCTTGCAGCTACCAGAAAGAACCTAAAAGTTTGGGATGATCAAATTATTTAGGTCACCCGTCAACAGTGAGGTTGTAGAGCATTAAGTAGTAGCGATGAGAACAGGGAAAACTCAGTTTACTTTGAGTCAAGTCGTCTCAAAACTATTAGGTATATTCGCTTTATTCTCACAACAACCTATTAAGTAGAAACCATTAATATTACTAATAAGTACTATTAATACGATCAGTCCCAATTCACTCTTCGCTCAATTAAGCGTAACTTCAAACTTCCCGTCTCACCGGCTTAAGCCGGAACAACCTCCACCTCCGCCAGCTTCGGGCGGCGTTCCGCACGACTTCGGCCCACGCAGCGCAACCAATCGCGGCCGCGGGGGGGAGCGACGTCACTCTCCTAAAGGTCCAGGCCAATTTCCATACTTCTCTTCTGCGCCCCGCCCCTTTACTATTTGTTAGAGGCGACAGCGGCCATTTTAGGTTCGGGCGGATATCAAATTAGAACTGCGCGTCTAAAGGCCTAAAAATTGAAATCAAAACAAACTTGCGAGTTCAACTGAAACGCCAAGAAAGGAAACAGCTTCACAGACAGACCAGGCCGCTGGGAGCAGGGAGTCAAGCCGCGACCGGCCCCCGCACCCACACGCAAGATGGCTTCGGCCTGAGAGTCACCTATGCGGCCGCTCTATCTCGGTTCCGGGTTCGTTCACCTCAGTGGTGGCGTCGGAGGGCTGGAGGCTGGCGTTCTGTCCGGTTTCCGGACCCATCTCTATGGTGTCGGAGGGAGCATACCCCCCGAAGATTGTGGGTGTAGTGGCTACAGCCTCACAGGGTAGGCGAGGGTGGTTGGTGTCAACAGGGGGCGAAGAGGGGACCGGAGCCAAGACCCTCGGCCGCCTCCCCGCCGCCCTCCCGCAGGTAACAGGGAGCCCTGCGCCGCTTCCTTCGTCAGTGCGGGACCGGGCCGCGGGGGAGGGGCCGGGCCGGGCGCGGAGGCGGTGGGCGCGCGCCCCCCTCGCCGATCCGCGCTCGGCGCTGCGCCGCTGCCGGTTGAGCTGTGCCCTCCGCCTCCGCTCAGTCTTCCCCTGCTTGTTACGGGGCGCCCTTCGGACCCGGGCTTGGCGGGCGACCCGCGCCCGGCGCGTTGCTGGCCGCCGGAGCTAGCGAAGGAAGCCGCGGAGCCGGGCCTCGCGGGCAGGTGTGGAAGGTGAGGGGCCAGCGGGCGGGAGCGCCGCCCCCGCCCACCCCCGGCGGTCGCGCTGGGACCCCGTTGGCCCCCGGGCCGCCCTCCCCGCCGCGGGTCGGGCGAGTGTGCGCGGCGAGACGGCGCCGCCCTGGTGGGAACCGGGGGGCGCACCCGCCCCGGGAAGCCGCCGGCGTTCTTGCTCCAGGACGAGTGCCGGGCCCCCGGAGGCCGAGCTGGCTCTGTGCTTGCATAGTGCTTTTTATTTAGAATAAAGATGAAACATTTCTTGGAAGAGTGTGTTTAGGAAACCATGTGAATGCTGAGTCGGGTCCTGAATTCCGGAATCACCGTTCGCTGTAGTTAAGGACCTGTGTGCATATCCACGTAACATCTCAAATCCTAGCTGAAATCATACTTCGTTCTTTTGGTCCATAAAGGCTTCACTATGTATTGCTGGTCAGCTAGCAGTGCTGGACTGAGTTCAATACAGGGAATATGTACTTGAAACAGATGAAAGTAAAGGGCCAAGGTAACGTTACCACCAGGTAACAAAATATCAATCAGTATAGGGTGTCCTTAGAACTCACAGTGCAAGCCATTGTCTCTGGAACCTCCAAGCAGAGACTGCTAGAACCGAGATCATCTCGATTAAATTTTGAGGAAGAAGAGAGAGTTCCCCAGATGACATGGATTTCTTAGTTGAGTGTGTGAGTTGCCCGGTGACCTAGACAAGCGCTTGTATAATCCACAGGTGGCCCAGAAATGTGATGTGCTGCCCAAGTAAGCAAAAGGATGGAGGAAGATAGGTGAAGCAGTTTTTAAAGAGAAGACCTTGATGCCTATTCAAGTCAGAAACTGCCTACCCAACGTTTTTATTATAGAGAGTGGGGATGGTAAATTCTACAAAATAACCATGCTGAGATCACAATATTAGACTATCCTTTTCTGTGTTTTTGTGAATTTTTTTCTTGTGACTTTTTTATTTCAAAGCAGTCAACACATCTTTTTATTGTCACCTAATAAAGTTTGCAATGGACGTAGGCTGTAATCCCCACTACTCTGAGAGCATTGCACTCCTGGTACTGGTAGACTTCTGTCAAGGTTAATCGTGCTTTCAAAACAGTAAAATGGCATCCTTTCTCTCAAGAAAGGGAGTCATTTCTTTCTTTTTTTAAGTTGTATTTCTTAGTGTCTTAAGCCCAAAATATACACTGCTAAGAAAAATTACTGGTTTGAACCTCGTAAAGCTTTCGTAACTCTAGATGTTGAAAAGCCCAGTGTTCCCACAAGGATGTATTTTGCTATTTAGAAATGACTAAGTTGGGCGCCTGGGTGGCTCAGTCAGTTAAGCGTCTGCCTTCAGCTCAGGTCATGATCCCAGGACCCTGGGTTGAGCCCTGCATGGAGCCCATATTGGGCTCCCTGCTTTGGTCTGTGTGTGTGTGGGGGGGCTGCTTCTCCCTCTCCCTCTGCCACACCCCCTGCTTGTGTGCTTGTGTGTGCTCTCTCTGTGTCAAAAAAAATAAAATCTTAAAAAAAAAAAAAAGTGATTAAGTAAATGTCCATTGCTCTACCTCTGCTGACTTCCATTCATTCCGCCAGAGCATCACTCCTCAATCCTGGTGACCATCTTACCTCCTTTGGGGACTAATATTAAAATTAAACAAACACCATGATATTCTGCCAAGAGGATTTTCATTTTCTTGCAGTTCCTTATGTGTTGATTTTGGAGAGCTGTATTTTGTGGCAAAGAGAGAACGAAGTTAGACTAGCCTCAGATACACACTTTTCAAAGTAACCCTTCTCTGACTAATTCCTCTAGTCTGACTGGTTTTACAGACGTGGGAGTTAGAGAGTAGATTTTTCTGCTGCTGAAATGGCAGTTGGTTTCAAAGAACATTGACCCTTTCGAGCTACCTCGGGTGGACCTCTGGCTCCCCCGGATTGTAGGGGTGTCAACGAAGCAGGGAGGAAATGGATTTGCAGCTTTGCGTCCCGAAGCCTCAAGATGGAGGGTAGTAATGTGCCCCTATAAATCTGACTAAGCTGCTCCCAGCCTTGGCTTTTCCTTCTGCTGTCAGCTGCCTTCCTCTGCTTGCCAAGCTTCTGCCTCTTCGTGGCTTTGGCTCACCATAGCCCTGACTCTACCTCATGACATCCTTTTACCTTCAGCTAATGGAGTATCTCGTTCATTCAGATTCCTGAGGCAGGCAAGGATCTGGCCATTAGCTCTTCATCCAGGCCATGGGTCCTAGGGATGGCTCATGTGTGCATTGACTGGCCTTTGGCCCAAGGAAGGCGCCTGACCCATTAACTGTGCCCTAGAGGAGAGGAGCAAGACCCAAGTACTGACCGTGACCCTCACAGTTCAGCGGGGGGATTGTCACAGTAGGGCAGGCACCACACCATCTCCAGAACAGGGGACTTAACTGTAGTTGCTTTTCCCCGTGAGCCTACATTAACACTAATTTTATTTATTTGTAGTCCTAATAGAGACTGGGACATATAGTTGAGATACATGGCATTTTTAATACTGTTTTTTTCCTCCTACTGTTCTTAAGATAAATTGTAGAGTAGGTAGCAGCTCAGCGAGTTTGTTACAAAGACGACTTAGTTTTTATCCTCAGAAGTATTCTTGGATTTTGAATAATTTCAATTTTAGATAGCTTTAGCGCTTGTACGTTTGTGTTCCTTATACAGTGATGTATGTGGGTCTGTAGGCACTTGGAATTCTCTGTGTTAAGTATGTGTCTTGAGCAGCATTTCATACTTTGGTAACACAGAGTGTTGTGTGGAACTTCACTAAAGTGGAAAAAAAATCTCTGTAGTGGGTCTGTGTATGATTGTTTGGTGTATATTTATTTAAAGGATGGGATTTGTTTAACTGAAAATTTTAAAGCTCTTTGTAGAATGTTTGGCTGTGTTATTTAGAACTAGCAACTTCTTGCTACATTGCCAGTTAGTTAAGAACCCTCTTTAAGTTTTATTTTTTTACGCTATGGTAAAGCCAGAACACATTTTGTAAACATACATAGTTTGGCCTCTACAGGTTTAAAAACATTTGACCCAACATTGAAAAATAGGGAAATTTCCACGTAACTCTTCAGGCTCTTGGATCCTTACGGTAAATGGCATGGTCTGGCAGCACTGTTTGGAACCTGGGAGGCTGCGTGTCCTCCTTAGGTGCTTGCCACCCTTGGTGGGCAGCCCTGTGCTATTCTACGGACGCCGTGTCCGCGGTCCTGCCATAACCATGGGAATTTGTATCCCCCTTGCAGAGAAAGATGTGTTTTTATTGTAATAGACTGGGGAGGTGCAGGCACGTGTCTGTCTGTCTGCCTGGGAATTGCCCGTGATCTGACACCTACTGCAAACCTCTATTAATACTTGAGCATGTTTTTTCAAGGCTTTCTGTGTATGTATCTGTATGTATCTATGTAGATACTTGCATAGATGGAGACATAGATCTATAACATTTCTTTTTGAAACAGAATTATTGAGGTGTAATTGATACATAATAAACCGAACATACTTTAAAGTGTACGATTTTGTAAGTTTTGGTATTTATAATCACCCTTTACCATAATCAAGATAATGACTGTTCCCCCCAAAGTTTCCTTACGTCCCTCCGCAACCCTCTCCTCTTCTCCGGTCCTTCTACCTGGGACCCCACCCCAGGCAACCACTGATCTATTCTCTGTCATTGTAGGGTAGTTTGCATTTTCTAGAATTTTATGCATGTGTGGGTTTTTTAGCATTTGGGATGATACAGTTTTGCACTGTCCCCTTTGTACTTAGCGTGAGCGTGAGGAGCAGTGAGGGTGTACTCTTTGTTATGGTCACTGCCCTTTGTGTTCAGTGAGTTGTCTCTTTCCTTTCCTCTTGTTCTGCTGGTGTTCGCACTACTTTGCTTGGCCTGTATGAGCTCTGCACTTGTTAGCATGTTTTTCCTCATTGTTAGAAATACTCTCTAGGTTGTAATGTTCTTTTTATAATTTTAAGCTATTGTTCTATGTATTATTATACAGAAGTTTTCTCACTGATGAATTATCAGATTTTGTAACCCTTTCCTGTGAGGCAGGGTATGTGTGTGGGTTAGGGAGCACAGATGATCTTACCCTGGTTTTGATTGCCCTCGCACTCTGGAAGGGTCTCCGTGGGAGGGGAGGGGGGCGTTTAAGGGCATTTTCTCTAGAGCTGTTGGTGGTTCCTTGACAAGCATGGCTGCCAACTGGCTGAGCATTTGCCATTTTTATTGCCAAATGGCCTAGTTGATGAGGGTTGGAGAAACAAGTGGGTTTGAGTGGCCAGGGTTGGAGAAACAAGTGGGTCTGAGTGGCCAGGGATCTCCAGCACGTGTTGCAGACAGAGACTCATGTTGGACGGTGTTTTCTGATTCCTTTCAGCTCTGCTTGGCTTTGTGGAGGAACTGCAGCACCACCTCACTGCATAAGGGATGGGATCAGAGAGCAGTGCTCTGAAGAGCTATGCGCTGAAGGAGCCACCTTTCACCTTACCCTCTGGGCTTGCCGTTTACCCCGCTGTTCTGCAAGATGGCAGATGCGCTTCCGTCTTCGTGTATAAGAGAGAAAACGAAGACAAAGTTAACAAAGCTGCCAAGGTACGGTGATGGGTGACGGCTTCATAGTTAGAGCTTTCTACCCTCTCGTTTTCTATTAAAAAATACGAAATTGAAATTACTAAAGGTACAAGGAGGAAGATCATAAGGAATACTGTTCCTATTCATATCCTTTAAGAACATAGTTGTCCTTACTTCATGGGATAATCTCCCAATTTGCGTGACACAGATACCACAGATATAGCCAAAAGGCTTCATAAAACTCGGTGTGGTAACTTTTATCATCATTTTTTTTTTAGTGAGAAGTTCAGAAGGTAATTTTCTATGGCTATTATGAGGTAAAGGAAGTTACTCTAGCTTAGCAGAAACCTCTGAGTATTGACATTCTGGGAAGTATATTTTTTAATTTGTAAGATCTATTCTTTTATTTTTTTTTAATTTTTGTATTTTAGTTTTTAAATTTGAATGTAGTTGACACACAATGTTACATTAGTTTCAGGTGTACAACATAGTGATGCGACTTCTCTGTGTGGTATGCTGTGCTCACCATTAGTATATTGATGATGGACCTAGAAATAAAATATTTTAGAAACTGTGACTACTGTTTTTTCTTTTCCCGAGGTACTGTGAGTCCCCAGAAAGATTGTTGAGCTGGAGTGTTGGGCTGGACACCCCAGAAAGAACGTTGGCCCTGGGCTCTAGTTCTTGCTGAGGGGCCTTAGTCAGATCATTCACTTCTAGAGGCTTCAGTTTCCTCTTCAGGGAAGAGGTCCTCCCAGCTTGCACCTTCTGGCCGCTGCTCCTGGAAGGGCACTGTCAGGGGACCCCAGCCTCTTATCAGAAACATGATTGTACCTTGGAATATAATTCAATAGAGCAATCCTAAGTGTCATTTTGAATTAGAGAAAACAAAGGCATTAGTTGGTATTAGTTGGTATTTCCTTGGATATTGAGCCATTCAGATTATCTTCGGGAAGGTTCTTCAGGGGACGCAGAGTTGTGGCTGTTCAGTGTTAACGGCAGGCACGCTATTTTCAGATGGACCTAGAGCTTTGTTTTGTTAGAGTTATGATCTGTATTACCGTGAGTCCCTTCGTGCTAGCAATAAGTAGGAGACAGGGATATCTATTTCATAGGTTTTTTTAAATGGCTTTTACCTTTTTTAATGATTATAAAGGGTTTTAGTATGTATCTCTATTAGTAATACAATTTCAGCATTTTATTGATCATATCAGTTCATTATTTAATGTTATTTGATCAGGCATGAAGTTAACAGTTATGGTGCCTAAGGAAAATGTTCCCCTTGGGATGCATTTTCTGTTAATTGTGGTAAAAAAGATAGCTGGCTATTTCGTTGCTAAGTAATTTTGCTTTTTGGTAAGACCATGTTTTTGTCTTTTCCATCCCGTCCAGGTACTATTAATACTTTTTATTGTGATTTTGCAAAAGATAAAATGCTTTGCTTCCCTGTCATACTCTTATATGCAATTCATATCTGACATACTTCCAGCTATTTTCATTTAGTGAGATTGCACGTTTTTTTAAGTAAAAGAATTAGTGATTAGGATGATTATTACTAGTGAAATACTAGAGATTTATCATCTTAGTTTTTTTTTGTAAGACCGTAAGATTTTTTAATATTATATTACTCTTTATGGTGTATGTACCAAGAAAGTTTGAAAAACCCAGATCATAAAGTTTTCTTGTTTTGTTTTTTAAGTAGGCTCTGCGCCCAGCATGGAGCCCAGCACAAGGCTTGATCTCACGACCCTGAGATCAAGACCTGAGCTGTGATCAAGAGTCAGATGCTTAACCAACTGGGCCACCCAGGCGCCCCCAGATCATAAAGTTCTTAAAGGAAAAAAAGATCTGTCAATGTTTGAGGACTTCTGGGTGGGAGGAATTTCAGAGCTTGAGAAGGAACATTTTTCCCCCCTTAGTACCTACTCTTCTAAACCATGGCTGAGTCTTTTCCAGTAGTTCTTACTTTTCTCGTATGTTCTGCAGGCCATCTTGTGGCTTTGAATACCTGATACATGAATCTGAGGAATTTGAAATGGCAACAAAATGATACGGAGTTTTGAGTTAGATCACAGTACCTGAAAAAATATATCACATTTCATCAGGTTTTAGGACCTTGATTTTCCTAGATACCTGAAATATTAAAACAGTATAGTTAGCACACCTCACTTTCTCTAGAGTTGAGGCTCCCTGGTCCTCCCTCTGATAGTTTTAATGACCACTTCAAGAGGATATACAATGTTTTCCTTGCAAATATTGTTAGGTTGTAAATGTGCTCTTCCTCTAGTGTTACAAATAAAAAACAACAGTCACAGTGCCCTGTGACCTCTGGAATAAGATGAAACGCAGGCATAACCTTTGGCCACAAAACAGCATTAGAAATTCTTCGAGTCCATCAGATCTTCTCATTTTATCTTGAATTCATTAGCTATAATAGTAAGTTTTCTCCCTGGTGGTTATGACTCATTTCTAATGAATAGTCAATAAGGAATGATAACTCCTAAATCAGAATTTGGTTACTGTGGTTTGCTGTCATCTGAGTGCTTCGTTAGGGCCTCACGGGAAGGTCAGACTCACAGGCTGTTTCCTGACTGTCTTCATGCTACCAAGGCAGCCACACTGACTGCAGGAATACGAATGTGGATGCTGTGCACCTGCCTTGGGAGAAGGATGCTCTTCTTCATGATGGATTCAGCTGCTTTCTGGAAGGGCCAATCAGCATTTTTGAGAATGCACATTGTGTGTGATGAGCAGAGAAGAGATGACTGCTTGCATTAATCACTTGTGGAGTGCTCTACCGCTCTTCCTTGTGTTGACGTGTTCTTTTTGTTCCTCTCCTCCTGAGGCCTTTTCTGTGCTATTTACAACCCTTAATCCAGTAAATCAACTTCCCTATATTGTCCCCTTTTTTAAAAAAATAATTCCTTCCCGTATAATCAAAATCTGGTTCTCTTATAAGTCTCCTGAGCATTATCCACTCAGAACTTCAGAAGTACCCCCTCCCCCATCCCTCAGATATGTTGGGCCACCTCCAGATGGCGCAGGCCCCTTCCCAGCCCCCACAAGTTTTCAGACTTCATTTTCTCCTCCTTTCCCTCTAGTGCTTACAACCGTCTGGCCTTCTGCCCCAAGTGAAATATCTGCCGAAACCTCTTCTCTGAGCTCCAGATCCACATTCTCACTTGCCTGTGGAAATCTCAGCCTGGATATTTCATCAGCACCTCTAATGCGGGCTTTCCAACATAAGATCCTTTATTCCTTTCCCCTCCTGCATTTTATTCCTTGTTTCTCATATAACCTCTGGGTGTTGGCATTTAGAGACAATGTACTTCCATCGTTGTCTCAGGTTTGCATCTTAAGAGAAGAAGGAAGAATATTTCTCCCTGAAAATTCTTGCTCTTAGTTTAGGCATCTTGATTATTTTGTCATATTTCTTCAACAGAGTGAAATTATGGCTTGCTTCCTGTCTAAAAACTTGCAAGTGAATTTGAGCTAAATGATGAGTATGTTGTGTAGTTCTCAAAGTGAAAGAGCAAACCGAGGTAGAATGGTAATGAAAAGCTAAGCCCCTAAGGCTTGAATTACTCTGCTATAGCTGAATCATAACCCATTCCTGAAAACTAGAGTTTATATTCAAGACTTGACTTTCACACTTAACATCTCTGTGTGGGCATGGATAAGTACAAATATGGACAGATTATCCAGTGCTACTCATTTTTTTTCCTGAAGATTTTATTTATTTATTTGACAGAGGGACCACAAGCAGGGGGAGTGGGAGAGGGAGAAGCAGGCTTCCCACGGAGCAGGGAGCCCGACGCAGGGCTCGATCCCAGGACCCTGGGATCATGACCTGAGCTGAAAGCAGGAGCTTAACTGACTGAGCCACCCAGGCGTCCCTAGAACAGATGATACTTTCAAGGCATTCCTTCCACAAAGTCCCCCTTCTCCACCAGAACAAGAGTCATTTATCTCTTTGGTTGATGTTAGTGAGAAAATCTCCTCGTTAAACTTAGCAGGTGTATCTTGTCACGCTAATTTTCCTGTGAATCTGTATGCATAATTTATGCAAAATATTGTGCATGCTGAAGAGGAGTAACAAATGAGGTTATTGCTGCTAAGTTAAGTGCCTTGTTCAGAATCATGCAATGAGTTATTCCTTCCTTTCTTCTTCATTAAACAAACAAGTCACTGTGGACCAAGAATTCTGCTGGGAATGTAGGGTTAAAAAAATAAGCTAAATGAAATTTATTATTTCATTTTTTAATGGGGTGAAATTTACAACTCTGTATTTTTATGCCAGTACTCAACCAGGTAGTATTTCTCCTGATTTACTAGTCTGCCCTGAGTATTAGAGGAATAAAAGAAGGCACATAAAACCCAAGGAAAATAATTAGAACCCTAAGAAATAAAAGCTGAATGAATATTTTTTTCCTGAGCAGGCAAAAATGAAAAGTTAAAAAGTATTTGATTTTTGTTTTGCAAATTATTTAAAATGATTCTTAAAATGCAAAAATATGAAAGAGGCTGCATAATTTTACTCAGAAACCATAGCTCAAAAGATACTTGCAAGAAGTTCTCTCCACTTAACTCTAGTCATTCACCCAGCTCACTAGCACAACTCATGGCTCCTCTGGGTCTTTGCTGTATTTATATCCGTAAGTATGGATTATTTTAAAGGCATATGCATAAATTAATAGTTCAGAATTGCTAAAGAATTTTCTTAATTATTTTTTATTAGAGTAACCCAGGGGAGGGTAACAGCTTTCTTCTTAAGAACAAACAAAAAATCCTATTGAAGCTATTCCTAGAGTTGTCAAAGTTTGAGATTATTTTAAGAAAAGAAACTAAACAAATCCATCTCCTCAGAATATTCTCCTATAGTTTTACCTAATAGACAAGTTTGAAGCGACTGATAGAAAACTTGTATCAGTGCTGTGTTATGGGCTCTTGTACAATCTCATATTCTTCCAAGAAGGTATTTTGGAATGTTCCATACTGAGTGCTTATTTGTGAAAATGAAACCTGATGTTATATTGAGGATTTTTCTCCAAGTGAAATCTTCATTGGTCTCCCAGTTTGATGATTGATTTACAAGGCTTCCGCAGTGTCCAGTGGATTGTGCAGGACAGACCCCAGAGATTTAAGGCCATGTAATTTCTTTTAGAAAAATTGGGTGATTTGTAAGGAGAACCATCATTCTGGCATTTTAAATTTTGTTGTAAATAAATGATACAGTTATTACTGCCTGGGTTGGGAATTGTGGACTATCAGTCTAATTGGAAAGTCTGCATCTGATAGGGCTGTTACAAAACCAAGCAGGGTAGGAAAGAAACCCCGCAGATTTAACCTTTCATAGACAAAACATTGTCATGTGTTTGTCATCCATCTTTGTATACTCTGTGTCTTGTTAGAGAACAGGACGATGAGAAGAGGTATGTATGGGGAAAATACTGTATGTTAGGGATTTCTAAAGTGGAACATCCATAACCTCGGGATTGTGCAACATGATTCATTGCAGTTTTGGGGGAGAAAATCAAGAATGTCTGTTTAAATTCACTTTTAATCTTTTCTTTCGGCACGTTCTATTTTATGGGGGTTTTATGGTATTTGTATTTAATTTATATATGTAAATGAAAAATGTGTATTATAGATACATATATGAGCTCTACTTATCTAATGTTTCTACTGGTGTGAAGCGTGTGAACAAAAACGTTTAATGCTAACTTTTCTAGATTAATAAAATGGTAACAGTTGTAAAGATGGTGAAACATTTTTAAGGAGATTAAGTGCTTGATAAAGAGGTAAATGTAAGAAAACAAGATCAACAAAAGACATCTAAGGTACTCATCCATTTAAAATGACTTTATGGCCCAGCGTAGACTCTGTTTCTGGGATTCTTTCTCTGTGAAGAGTGTGTGTTCTGCAGTCACTGGGTCTAGTGTTTTCCAAATGTCAGTTTGATTAGGTTTCCTGTGCTTTCATTTATTTTTTGTTTGTTTGCTGTTGCTAGTTCTGTTGATTGCTGAAAGAGGAGTTTTAAAATCTCCACCTGTGATCCTGGAATCGTGGAATTGTTTCTCCCTTTCATTTTTGCTCCATGCATATTTTGAGGCTCTGCTGTTAGGATCTTCCACTTCATAGTTGTGATGTCTTTTTAATTAATTGTCCTTTTATTCTTTAAGAAATGTCCCATTTAATCTCTTGCAGTACTCTGTCTTGAAGTATATTTTCTCTGATAAGAATATATTCACTCTAGCCTTCTTATGCTTACTGTCTTAATGGTATATCCTATTCTGTCCATTCAGTTTCTATCCATTTACCTATCTCTGTCTTTATATTTAAAGTCAGTCTCATAGGCAGCATATTGTGGTCTTCCTCTTTTGTTAATTGGAATGTTTAGATCATTAACATTTCATGTAATTATTAGTGTTGTTGACTTTTATTATTTGTTATTTGTTTTCTATTTGCTCCCTTTTGAATTTTGTTCTTCTGTTCCCCTTCTCTTTTTTTGGTTTATTTAAATAGCTCTTAGTATTTCATTTTACCTTGATTTTTCACCTACATTTCTTTATACTTTTTAATGGTTGCACTAAGGATTTCAGTTTAATAACTAGCTCTTAATCATGTATCTGTGGTTAGTATTGTACCAATCACATAAAACGTAGAAACCTTGGAATCAGATAGATGTCTCCAGCCCCAGCCCTACTGTCCTTTTGTTACATACATATCAACTGTCTACATACACAGATACACGGTTAACCCTTGACCAACACTGGGGTTAGGGGTTCTGATTCCCCACACAATTGGAAATTTGTGTATAAGTTTTGACTCCCCCAAAACTTAACTACTAGTAACCTACTGTTGACTGGAAGACTTGTTGATAAGATAAACAGTCAATTAGCACATCTAATGTGATACGTATTATATACTGTATTTTTATAGTAAGGTAGGGTAAAGAAAATGTTATTAAGAAAGTCATAAGGAAAATCCATTTACAGCACTGTGCAGTGTTTATTGAAAAAAATCTGCATAGAAGTAGATACACAGTTTAAACCTGTGTTGTGGGGCACCTGGGTGGCTCAGTCGGTTAAGCGACTGCCTTCGGCTCAGGTCATGATCCTGGAGTCCCGGGATCGAGCCCTGTGTCGGGCTTCCTGCTCAGCGGGAAGTCTGCTTTTCCCTCTGATGCTCCCCCCTCTCATGCTCTCTATCTCTCATTCTCTCTCTCTCAAATAAATAAATAAAAATCTAAAAAAAAACCAAAACCTGTGTTGTTCAGGGTCACCTGTACATCACACACATTATAAACCTCACTCAGCAGTGTTGTGGTGTCTGCTCAAATAGTCATATATCTTTTAAATAAGAAGTAAAAATGTAGCCTTCGAATCGATCCTGATATTTGCCATTTCTAATGCTCTTTCTTCATTTCTGGAGATCCACATTTCCCTTTGGTATCATTTCCTCTTCAGCTTAAAGAGCTTCCTTTAGCGTTTTTTATAGAGCAGGTCTTCTGGCAATAAAACTTCTCTGTTTTTCATGATCAAAAATGCTTTTTTTTACTTTTTTTTTTCCTGTAGGATATTTTTGCTACATAATTCAGGGCTGATACTGTTTTTTCTGCCAGTGCTTTAAAGGTGCTCCCCTTTGTCTTTTGGCCTCTGTGTTTTCTGATGAGAAATTTGCATCATTCAGATTGTCATTCCCCTCCACATAATATGGTTTTTTTCTCCAGCTGCCTCTGAGATTTTTTATTTATCTGATTTTCTCCAGTTTGATGATAATGTGTATAGATGTAGTTTTCTTTGATTTATCCTGTTTGGTGTTCATTGAACTTCTTAAATCTGTAAACTTAAGTATTTGGCTGAATTTGGAAAGTTCTCAGCCATTACATTTTTTATGTCCCGGTTCTTTTCTTCTCTTTCTTGGGACTCCAGTTATATATGTTAGGCCTTTTGTTATTGTCACACAGTTTCTTGATGCTATGATCACTTAAAAAAAATAAAGAACTTTTTCTCTTTGTTCTTCAGATTGGTTAACATAGCCAGGTTCACTGACGCTTGCCTCTACCATCTGCATTCTGTTATTGAGTCCATTCATTGAATTAGTTTCTAATATTTTATTTTTCCTTCCTAAGACTTCCACTTATTTTAAATAACATTTCTTTCTCTGCTGAGAGCTTCTTTCTATTTATTTCCTGTTTTCCTTTACCCCTAGGGAAGAATGGTTATAATATAATGGTTAAGCTGCTTTAAATTTTTTCTTATAATCCTAATATCTTGTCAATCTTGGGATTGATATTTGTTGGTTGTCTTTTCACTTTTTTATGGTTCTTTGTTGAGTAAAACTATTTTGGATTGCATCCTGGACATTTTGAATGTCACGTTGCATAGACTCTTGGTTCTGTTAAAATCTTCTGGAGATTCTTGATGTTTTTGATTTAGCAGGCGGTTGATCCCCTTTGGTTCAGGCTTCAAGTTTTCTAACTACTCTCCTCCCACCCTTCCTTCCTGAGTGTGGTAGTTCAAACCTCAGTTCATTTCTCAAAAGTTTGTTCCGCTGGTTTGTGTCTGTTTTGTCCATGCCTCCTTGGTTCAGGAGTTAGTCTGAGACCTGTGTGGGTATACAGATAACCAGAGCATCTCCTTCTCCAGTTCTTTCCCCTCTGGGAAATCCTCATACTCAGGCTTGTCTTGGCTCCTTTCTGTCCTTCTTCTGGCCAGAAGAATGGCAAGGTCTCTGTCAGAGTTTTAGCCATCTTTGCTACCTTGCTCTGCGAGTGGGGCCTGCCTTCAGTTCACAACTGTGAGAAGGGCCAACCTGACACCAGAACATGTACTCCCACTGCTGTCTCTTCTCCTAACTTTGACTCCACTGCGTAATCTGCGTGCTTTTTTTACTTTGCCAAGTTCTCGGGTCATTGTTTTTGGTACTTCGTTCAGAGTGTATGGCAGTAATCATTGGGAGGCCTGGGCTCCTAGGGGCTTACACTGTCATAAGGGAACCGGAAGTCTCTGTAGATTTATTTAAATGTTGGTAAAGTGAATGAAGTCAGAACAGGTCGTAGATTTTCCTGTGCCTTATTTGAAGTTTAGGGGGGTAGGTGAGGAGCTGGGAGGGACCTTGAATGCAGTATACATGTTCAGACTCTGACTGCGATATGTTAGTCTGGTTCTGAGTCATTAACTCTACCAACCCTTCCATTTGTATTTTTAAAGCATTTGAAGACACTTCGTCACCCTTGCTTGCTAAGATTTTTATCTTGCACTGTGGAGGCAGCTGGGATTCATCTAGTCACTGAGCGAGTGCAGCCTCTGGAAGTGGCTTTAGAAACTCTGTCTTCCGCAGAGGTCTGTGCCGGGATCTACGACATACTGCTGGCTCTCATCTTCCTTCATGACCGAGTAAGTAACCCGGACACTGTCTGCCTCACAGGCCTTGCTACAGACCGGAGGGTTGATGTGTGTGGTAGTGCTTTTAAGGTATGGGCGGTACAGAAATCATAAGTTGCTATTCTTACTTGAGTCTTCCGGAGGAAAACAAGCACCTTGGAAGGCACCAGAAGGGCTCCAGACAGGTGGTTTGTGGAATGGGCAAGGGCTTCTCCAACCCTGGGCAGTTTTTTATAGAACTTTATTTCGGTTTACTATTGTCTCCCTCTAGTTTGTGGGAGTCTTTACCTAAAAATACCTGCAGCTGGTATTACTGTTCTTAAGACAAAGATAAAGCCTTAACACTGCTGTTGCTGTGGACCAGAGTTCCTATTTGGTCCCAGTTTGGTTACATTTTAGATTTTGAAGGAAGAAATGACCATTTCTTAGAAAAAGGCAGAGCTTTACACACCCCTTCTCATTTGAGTGGGTGGTGCTACTGAGGGACAGCCTTTTTTTTTTTTTTTTAAGGTTATTTATTTATTTGAGGGAGAGAGAGCGAGCACTAGTGGGGGGAGGAGCAGTGAGAGAGAGAGCAGCAGGAAGCTCCATGCGGGGCTGGATCCTGGAACCCCAGGGTCACGACCTGAGCCAAAGGCAGACGCTTCACCAACTGAGTCACCCAGGCGTCCCAAGAGACAGCCTCGTAACACTGTGGTTAGGTTTGCTCTTAAGGGGTAAGGGTAGAGTGCCTATGTTTACTTCTGGCCTGTTTCTTGACAGTATTATTGAGCTATTTCTTAATGGAGTACTAAGGCCTTTGGCAGCCCTCCAAGATTAAAAATTACTGGTCACAAGTTAGAAACACTTGCATTTGACTCATCTCAGTGTATGTTTTTTTTTTTTTTTTTTTAACTTTTTCTATTAATGGGAGACCGATTCCAAATATCACTTTGGATTTATTGTCTCTTAAAAGTATGTCTAAGATTCATACAAAGAAGAATTAGTGCTTCACATGGAGGACTATTTTCCTTGTTGGAGAAAGTACACGCACATGGTAGAAAGTTTGACTAGTGTGAGAGTGCATGTAGGGAAGAGTAAGCCCCCCGACCCTGAATCCAGCACCCCACCTCTCTCCAGAAGCAACCATGGTGATCAGCGTATTAGTCCAGAGATGGTCGGTGTGCATATAAACCAAATGTCCCTGTGCTTAATAATCCTTTGTTTTTTCTCAAATGTAAAAATACCATACATACTATTCTGAACCTTCCTTTAGAATATATATATATATACTATATATATATATTGGAGTGTTTCCTATCAAAATTTGTACATACTTGGGGCACCTGGGTGGCTCAGATGGTTAAGCGTCTGCCTTCAGCTCAGGTTATGATCCCAGGGTCCTGGGATCGAGTCCCACATCGGGCTCCCTGCTCCTTGGGAGCCTGCTTCTCTCTCTCTCTCTGTCTCTCATGAATAAATAAATAAAATCTTTAAAAAAAAAAAATTTGTACATACTTGATCTAGTGAGTAGAATATTTAAAATGCACTTGTCTACTGAAATGATTTCTGGTTCAGGAAAAAAACACACTTCAATCCTGTTCTCATTTTCTTCTTTTTTCTCATTTATTTGACTGTATGATTTTTTATAGTTTTAAATTTTGGCACTTCTGTGGTCTGTGGGGTATTTCTGGTGGTCCTTATTCCATTTTCCTCTTCTCTGGGCAGGATTTTTAAATGCCTACTGACAAGATTTCAGGTGAAGTGGATCTGGGTTCGTGATAGAATGTAGGTGAGGAAGAATTTAGAGGAGAAAAGTAATACAATAACCTATGGGAGCAAAGGTAAACTTTATCTTTTAAAGGATGGAAGCAAACGATGTAGGCTATAAAGACTTGTAACCTCACACTTAAGGAACCCTTGGTTCTCCTGATACCCATGGAAGCGGGGATGTGCAGCCAAGGAAAAGCCCTTTCATTGCACTTCCCTGTTCTCCAACCTCATAATGCTTAAGCAGGCTTATTCAGTCTGTCATTCCTTAAAGTTGTACTTCCATTTACTTGCCACAAGTGGGATGACTTGCCATATCTCTTTTTGGTGTTCAGTATTTAGTTTTTTAAAACTCCTGCTTCAAAATTTCTAGTGGCAGCCTCCTCCTGTTCTTTTTTCCAGGGACACCTAACACACAACAATGTCTGCTTATCATCTGTGTTTGTGAGTGAAGATGGGCACTGGAAGCTCGGAGGAATGGAAACCGTCTGTAAAGTTCCTCAGGCCACGCCCGAGGTAAGCCAGGGGATGGGCCCCCTGTGTCATGCAGAATTTTTGATAGCATTTTGGTATGTGGTTTTACCTGGGTATTTTCCTTCAGTGTTAGAGTGATCATAGATTTGGAGACTAGACTTTTTTGTCAGTGCTCATATTCGCGGAACGGTAGGAGTTTATTCTTCAGAGGGGCCCCAGCCTTCATTTCTTCTTGTCTCCTCATTTGGTAGCTGAGGAACTTGAGACTGAGAGGTAACCTGGCTTGGTCAAATTTTTAATTAAATGTTCCTGCCTTCTGCTCCTCTACTACCCTGTACTTAATCGCACCACTTAATGTTTAATATTGAAATTACCTTTGTGTGTCTATTTTTTTTACCAGTGTTTGACTTCGTGAGGGTGTGAGAGTCTCTCATATGTATCTTTACATCTCTCCCTAGAGTAGTGCCTGGCATGCATCAGGTTAATGAACTGAAGAAACGTTCATTAACAACCGTCATGTTGTCCAAAGTCACACACTGTGTCCTGACAGCTGGAGTTAGGACCTGTGCAGCTTAACTCCTCCCAGTGGGCTGTGTTGTACCCCGAGCTGGTTTTTTCTGACCAAGATCTACAAATTTCCCTCCTAGGTTGATGAACCTTCCTCTTCTGTTTTGTTTCTTGTTTTCACCATTTTGCATGTTGCCACTAGACTTGCTCTTTCTGAAAAACAGAACAAAACAAAACCAGTCCCATCCTGGCAGCCCTACTGAAGTGGTGGCTCGCGACCTGCTGGCTCTGTCTGGTTTCCCCTGTTCTCTTGTGGGGCTTCCACACGTGGGCCATGTTAAGTGTGCACCTTCCTGGGCTTTTGCCCAGTTCAAATGCTACTTCCACCACAGAGATGCTCCTCTGGTAATATTTCTGCCCTAGTCGATCCCTTTCTTCTCAGAATTCACCTTACATCTAATTAGTATAACAGCACGTAATTCATCCTGCGACCAGTGTTCCAAATTCTTTACCGTGGCGTGGAAGGCCCTCTGCAAGCTCTTCCCCAGCCTCCCTTCAGCGTCACGTACCACTTCCAGTTACTGAGCTGCACTCTGGTCTCCCCGAGTTCTCGCAGGGGTGGTTCTCCCGCGCCCTCTTCTTCCCTTGTGTGCCGTTCTGTTGCTGGGATGCCTCGCTTCCCCCGGGCTCTCCAGAGAGTGGAAGATGAGCTGAAGTCTCAGATCTAGCTAAGTCTCTTTGTGAAGCCCTCCCCAGGGTATTCCCTACCCAACGAAATTCATCCCTCCTTCTGTGCTGCCATGGCACTCAGCACATCACTGAAATTCTTAGTTTACGTTCTAGGTTGTGAGCACCGGCTGGGGGCAGGGAATTTACCATATTCCTTTTGTATTTCTCGTGCCGTAAGTGGTGCTTGGGACATAGAAGCTCTTGAAAAATAATCTTTGAATCAGTGAATGAATGTCCTTGATCTGTGGATGTCATCTCTGTAGCTAATAAGGTCCTCAACTTTGGTATCTCAGCCTGACTTGATTCAGTCGGAAGATTAATGATAGATTTGTTCTATGCTCGAAAAGCCTTTTATTTGTTAATAACTAGGCAGGATGAGAAAGACGTATTCCTAATTACTAGTGGAGGGAAGTGAGACGCAGAGATGCCTCTGAACAGCAGAGGGCGCCCTACCCGGCTGAAGGGGAGAGGCAGGGAACTAACCTGTCTTTTCCACTGAGCCTCCTGCTGTGCCAGGTACTGTATTCACATTTTTTAATGAGCAAGATTTCCCGTGTGCGTATTTAACATGTGGCATTGGTGTGAAGGCTTCATGCTGCTGTTTCCATTGCTGGTTGCTTCTGTAACTTGCTGTAAGAGATTGGTTCACCAGACCTGTGTATGAATTATTTTCCTTAATTTATTTCTCTGTCTAGTTTCTGAGGAGTATTCAGTCAGTCAGAGACCCAGCATCTATCCCTCCTGAAGAGATGGTAAGATGACATGCTTCAGCTGTAACGAAGGCTTCTTTGTGTAACTGAGTGTGCAACTTAAAAGAACCTTTCGTCTGCCCCCTCTTTCTTGGCCAAGCTGCGGACACCTCAGAATGCCTTTGGCCGGACAGCTCCTCAGATTAATCTTATCACCACAGCAGGGAGCCTTTTCCCTGACAGTCCGCTTACATTTTTGGTGGTACGGACACCTAGGATACCGTGTAAAGACAGGGTTGGTGCTTCAGACCCATTTCAGGGTCTTTGTATTTTGCTGGAAGCCCGAAGAGCTGGGGACGCAACACTCCAGCCCTTCCTTTGCTTCCCCGAAGCCATTCATCGGCCTGTCGGTTATTGGTTAGGACGCCACGAGACCTAGAAGAGTGATGATTGGCATTAATAATCTTGAGTGACAAAGGTTCCATCCACAAATTTCCCTGGTAGGTCGATGAACCTTTCTATTCTGTTTTGTTTCTTGCCTTCACCACCAGCTGCTGGTGAAAATTGTATTTGCCAGTAAATACGAAAGAAGTTGCTCCCTCTAAATTTGTTTTTATAACTTCTGAAAACAGACTGCGATCCCCAAAGACATATTTAATGTGCTTTACAGGAAATACAAACCCAACTACAAACTTGAGTCTAGACCTAAGACTTGAAATAAATCCTGTTGATCCAAATCAGCACTGTGTGTATATATTAGTGTTTTTCAGACGGATTTGTGGTTTTAAATCAAGTTGTTAGAGGTTCTGACAAGCATTTTGAGAAAAAGGAGTAAAACAGAAAATATCATTAAGTGCTGTAGGTAGTAAGGCTAAGTATTGTTTTATGAAACTTTTGTTTCTGTTACGTGGGTCTTTATGCATATGTGTGTATATTACCCCCACTAACAGTAATCATAATAATAAACGTTTTAAAAATCTGGTTGCAGTCAAAAATATTTTTGAAAGCCACAGACATATATCCTATTTAGGCCTTTTGTTTTCTTTTTGCCCTTGTTTGATATTTTTAAATCTTTGATAAATTCCATTCACTCATAGTGTAGAAGTCTGTAAGCGAATGGATGGTACTGTGAGGTTAGCTTGGAGTCTCATAAATGCAAACATGGGAGAGTGCTTCAGAGAAAACTTAGATGGTTTATAAGGCAGATTCTCTAGGTTTAATGATCTTTCCTGCTTTCAGTCTCCAGAATTCACAACCCTGCCTGAATCACACGGACATGCCCGGGATGCCTTTGCGTTTGGGACATTGGTGGAAAGTTTGCTCACAATCTTAAGTGAACAGGGTGAGTCGGAGTTGTACTACTGCATCCACAGAATAAGTAGGAAGGTCATTCGCAGCCTGTTCTGTGTGGATTCAAAGGACCGCAGTCTTTGATCACAATAAGGAATCTGTCGCTTACCAAATAACTTGTCTAGGGCAGATCTTAACAGCAGTGAGGAAAGAAGCTCTGATTTCTTTATTAAAAGCATTTTAAGTAGGAACCACCTTCAGCTCTGACTCTTAAGTATCCCAGGTTATTCGTGATACTTACTGGGATTGGTTCTTGTGGTCTGAAGCCTCTGTTCCTTAGTCAGCCACGTAAATGAACACTGTTGACTGATTGATGTGGAACCATCTGAAGGAAAGAGGAGGATTCAACATTTTTTATTAATCTAAATCAAGCTTAGCATTTCTTTGTCTTTATTCTTTCCAAGTCCTTTTGATATTTTTCTTCTTAATATAATGTACTTAACTTATTGCCTTTTCTTTTGTTGCCCCGGAGAGCCCAGGCTACTGAGCACATTGTTTTCTTCTCTTTTGAGCTCTCCAGAGGCGCGCCTGGAGCCTGCTTCACTCTGCTCCAGCCACCGCTGGCCTTCAGGTGCCCGCCTGCCGCCTGGCCAGGGGTGCCTACCCCGTGAGGCCCCTTGCTGCCCAGGATCGCACTGGGCCCAGGCTTCGTGCAGCTCTAATGCAGTTTCTTTCACCAGGTGTCTGCAGTGTTCTGAAGTTACAAGCATCATTCAGCTGCTGGCTCTAAATTGTCTCAGCCTAAAAATACTTGAGAATTACACCCTTAAGGCCCTAAGGCCACCCTTGTGGGGATGAACTTACTACCCAACTGTGTCTGGAATGGCGGCAATTATATACCATCCTTGGGAGATTAGAAAATACAGTCATTCCGATAACTTTTCGTTCTATGGATGAGAAACCCTGGTGGGAGAGGCCCACAGACCTGCCACCTATTCAGCCGTCTTTAGGCCTGAGCTGAGCTAACCCGGACAGCCGGCCTGGACATGAGGCGGCTCCGCAGGGCAGCCCCGGGGGGTGGGGGGGTTGGCTGTGTGAGCAGGTGAGTTTTCTACACCTGCCTTGGAGTCTGGCTTCTGCTTAGCAACAGCCAGGGCTTTGTTTGTTTGGGCTTTTACAGGTTGGTTTTTGCTCTCGTCAGTCTCCAGCTATAGAGGTCCTGGAAAGAGGGAGAAGGCATTGGAAACTAACTGTAGCTCTGGATTTCAGTTTCAGCGGATGTTCTCTCCAGCTTTCAACAGACCTTGCACTCAACCTTGCTGAATCCCATTCCAAAATGTCGGCCAGCGCTCTGCACCTTACTGTCCCATGACTTCTTCAGGTGAGGGCATCTGGCAGCCTTGGCTGGCTGTTTCCCTGCGGCTGGCCTGCTCTCGGACCTGGCGTTCCGGCCGTGGGGTTTGGGGGCCCCGGTCATGCAGTCCCTCCTGTGGTTGCCGTTCACTGTCAGGAGAGGTTTAAATCACGTCCACATGGGAAAACAGAGGGCAAAACTGGGCTGCTTTGGGTTCTTACCACAGGAAGTTTGAGAAATCTTTAACTCTGGTGAAGGCTTGAGTTTAGAAGTTACAGCCAGGTCCCCTTAGGACTTGGGTTGGCTCGCGGTTTGCAGTTGTCAAGGAATTGAGAAACTCTCTACTGCCATCGTGTTCTTGATAAGAATTTGTCATTGTTGAAAATTTTTCTTGTTGGGGGGAAAGGAGCTCATTTTTCTTCAGGCAGAAGATTGTCTTCTTGGTTTAGTAATACATGATGGAAGAGAAGCACAGAAGTCTAAAGGGAGGGCACGATAGAATGGTAATACTGTCGCTGGATTCAGAGATGTTTTTGAACCTCTCTTCAAGGTCAGTTTTAATTATGTGTCCTCCACCTTTTCATTTCCATGACCCAAAGGTTAATTTCACAGTCGCAACTTTTATTAGCACAATTGATCTTATGTCCATTTTGAAACTAAAGATCCTTACTTGTTTGCGGTTGGAGAGCTGAGAAAAACCAGAGTGGAGGGAAAGCTAACGTTCTCCTTGGAGGGGGTGAATTACCTCTAGGGTAGGACAAGGGGCCATATTATTAAACAGGGCAGAGAGGTAGTTTCACCATAGCTATTAGGATTTTATTTGTCATTTACATTTCAAAGAAACTGTTCAAAACCTTGCCCATTACAAGATTCTTCTAACCAAGGCATTTCTGTGTCCTTTTGGATAATTTGTACCAGTATTTTATTTACCTTGATATAAGATCGCTACAAAGAACAACCTTTACAGCAAGTAGATTATCTCATCACTGTGTGGTAAGAGTTCTTTAGTAAGAATTGTACTTTAAGCAGAGATGGGAGAGAAAGCCAAAGCCCACACCAGCTACCTCTTCCTGAACTCTGATGGTTACCTGTGAGACAACTTGATTAGACGTCAGTTAAGACATTTGTGTTTTTTCTCTGCTGCTAAGCCAGAGGGAAAGAAAGGGGTGTCGATGTAAGATGTGGAGACTCGGGGGGCTGCGTGCGGATGGCCCAGAAGCCTCGTCCTGTAGGACGGGAGCACGGGAACACGGGAGCAGCGTTCCCTTGATGCTGAGCAGTGTGCAGCCTCACAGGCCCTGCGGGGAACCCACAGCCCCCCTCCCCGCTGCCTGGCTGAGAAAATGGCCTCACGGCTTCGGGCAGGAGCAATGGGAAGATTCCAGTGACTTGCACGAGAGATGCCTCTTTCTCCAACCCTCTCAGAGTTCTTACTTCACTAGAGCAGACTGGAGATTTCAACGACTGTTTGCAGTGCTTGGTCACCCCAATACCACTGCTCCCAGGACAGTTCATTTCACCACATCCTGTTGCAACAAAAGCTCAGACGACTCTTGATCGCTCAAACCACCGGGTTTGTGGGTGTTTGTTTACACACTGTGTGCGTTGAAGCATGTATCCTCTTCACAGATCTCTTTGCTGTTCTTAAAATGCTGGTTTCTCCGGCTGGTTCATAGCATTTGTCTCATGAGCTACTTAGTTATAATAGAGGCTTCTAAGCGGCTCGGGAGAATGTTTCCTTGAATATTAGCATAGTGTGGTCTGTGCTTATGGCTTCAGTATTTAACATGCCTTCTCTAATCTTTTGTCCTGCATATTTTTTTTTCTCTTTGGCATTTAGGAATGATTTTCTAGAAGTTGTGAATTTCTTGAAAAGTTTAACATTGAAGAGTGAAGAGGAAAAAACTGAGTTTTTCAAGTAAGTTCACAAAGTGAAGGGCTTAAAATTCAGTAACTTGGATTAAGTCTGTGTAATCACTTCGGGTGTTCTGGAGAGATGAGTCAGACATTTACTTTCTCGGGCCAAGCTTATTGGATGTTTACTGTGTGTTGGCTTTCTGCTAGGCCCTGGGATGGACAGATGGTTCTGGTGGGGGAAACATGCAGACTGGTAGTCCCTAAACGGTGATAGAGCCTGCAGGGGGCGTCCTGAGACCCCAGAGGAGAGAGAGGAGGTATTCTAGGCAGCGGGAACGAATGTGCAGAGGCAGGGCGCGGTGCGTGCTGAGCCTGGCACACCTGGCAGCTGGGTCCTGTTGGAGCGCAGACTCCAAGGCAGGGGTGGGTGAGAGGTGGGCTCCCTTGGGTGGGGCAGTGAGAACCAGTGACACTGTTGGTAGGCAGTGGGCTTCAGGCATCGAAGCCGTGGCAGCGGGCTGTGAAACGGTTAAATCTGCCGAGGCGGATCGCTCTGTGGTCTGTGGAGGGCACGGATTGATTTCTTAGGGATCTGGATCGGTTGGTAAACCGTGGCAGGTGTCGGTGGTACAGCGAAGACACAGACCAGAAGGACTTCCACCGTCAGATTGGCAGGCCCTTAGGGTGACCCCAAGAGCGTTAGAGAATCCTGGAGGAGAGGCCCCAGCGCGCCCAGAACATGAGGAGTTTGGGGTCAGGGTGTCCCTGCACAGTGTGCGGGGGGCTGTAGATGGAGATGTGCACGGGCATTTGGCTGGATGGGTCTGAGGCCCGGGAGAGACGGCGGCGGCCAAGGAGCCAGCAGTGAGGACCAGGGTGCCACAGCCTGCCGTCGGCGACAGTTTCCCAGAGCAAGTGGAGGCATGGGGAAGACCGAGCGCCCAGAATGTAACCCTGGGGCTGCCACCCAACCTCGTCTGGGGGTGGCTGACCAGTGAGACAGCAGTGATGGTGACAGGAGGTTCGGAGAATGCCCGGAAGCCTGGTGGTCCCGGCAGAGGCACGTTCGGAAAGGTCGGGGGAATCCCTGTTCACTGAGGAGTTGGGGGGAGCAGCGGCGCCCTCATCTGAGGAGGAGCCTTTGGAGCGGAGGGAGCCAGGCCGCAATGAGCTCAGAAGTGAACGAAAGGTGAGAAAGTGGACTGGGTAAAACCTGAGAAGTTCGGAGAAGAGAGAACAGAGAATAGCCGAAGAAGGGAGTGGAGACGGTAAGGACGTGTTTAGGACGCAAGAGATGTGAGCAGGGGTGTAGGCTGAGGGAGCAGGGCTTGGGGAAGAGAGCTGTGGCCCCGAAAGAGGTCGGGCTGTGGGGTGACAGTGGCTGGGCGCAGTGGGAAGTACGAGGAGGCCCCGCGTCCCGGGGACCTGGGGAGGAGGCAGGGACGTAGACCCGTTAGGTCACGGTGGCCTGTTTGCTCAGGCAGTAGGAGGCAGGACGGCCTGCTAACGGCGACCGTGTAGGGGGAGGTTACCACTGTTACTTCTAACACCTGGGTCTTTTTTTTTTTTTTTGGAGAGAGAGAGACAGAGAGCAGGGGTTGGGGCAGAGGGAAAGGGAGAGAATCCGAAGCAGACCCCCGCCCCGCAATGCAGAGCCTGACATGGGGATCTGTCTCATGACCCCAAAATCATGACCTGAGCCGAAATCAAGAGTCAGCTGCTTATCCACCTGAGCCATCCAGGGGTCCCAAATATCTGTATTCTTTTTTTTTTTTTTTTAAAGATTTTATTTATTTATTTGACAGAGAGAGACACAGCGAGAGAGGGAACACAAGCGGGGGGAGTGGGAGAGGGAGAAGTAGGCTTCCCGCCGAGCAGGGAGCCCGATGCGGGGCTCAATCCCAGGACCCTGGGATCACGACCTGAGCCAAAGGCAGATGCGTAACAGCTGAGCCACCCAGGTGCCCCCCATCTGTGTATTCTTAACAGAATGCTCTTACATGTGTTATTTTAGGAAGTTTAGTAACAAAAGCCTCTATTTTTTTACTGTGGGAACTCTAGATAATCTTATATCCTACATTTTTTTAAATTTGAAGAAAGTCCTTTTAACTGACTAGGAAGCTTCTGGCTTACTGGGGAAAAGGAGGACACTGGTGCCGCAAATAAGGGGCAATTTGTTGAAACCTTTCATAACTCAGATCGGAGCTTGTCTGTGTGCTGGCAGCCTGGTCTCACACCCGCTGCATTTTTCCTAAAAACCTTGTAACCACCTGTTCACCTTCCCTGGCCACATTCCACAGTGCCTCACTGTGACAGAAGTCGGAGAGGGCTGTGTGTGTCTGAAGTGTACAAGGAAGCAGATACAGTGTCACAGCCAGGTTCCCAGGCTCTTCTTCTGTGCCCTCAGATTCCTGCTGGACAGAGTCAGCTGCCTGTCAGAGGAGTTAATAGCCTCACGGTTGGTGCCTCTTCTGCTTAATCAGTTGGTGTTTGCAGAGCCGGTAGCGGTTAAGAGTTTTCTTCCTCATCTGCTTGGCCCCAAAAAAGGTGAATTTTTTTCAAAGGATTATTGGTCATTAAGGAGTTTGGGCATTATTAGTCCTTATTTGAGCCGAGTGAGATTACTGCCTGGTGTAGTTAGATATGTCTCTAAAAACAATTATTGGCCCCTCAGGTGATCATTTTGACTCAGACCTGGGTACCAGAGCCCACTGGGTAAATAAGGAGCATCTCCTGGAGAGTCAGATTTACTGTAGAAGGGTAGCATATTGAAAAATACACACACACACACACACACACACAGGTAGGACTAGAATAGGAGATGCACATGATGGAGTTTTAGGATAAGGCATCCATCTTCACAGGACTTGATTTGCAGTTAGGCCTGTGCTTTCTGACTTCCCAAGAGCAACCCATTTATTTTGTATTTTCAATGGAAAGATTGAAAAGCATGGAGATCACTTTCCTACTTAGAACTTCTGTTTTTTTCTGAATGTGAAATGAGGTTGTTATTCTGATACTCTATAAGCACTGCAGATGGTAACACCTCAGGCTAGACAGGACAGCATTAACAGTCTGTAGAATCTCGTGTTAGGTGGAATTCTACCTTCAGAACTTCTTTTCTTTGAAGATCTTGATCCAACAAAGCAGCATTATAGGTAACTATTTTACAACATAGAATTTCCTTATATTCTTTGTCATTCCCCGACTTGTTTTTTTTCATCGACGTATAGTTGACACAGCGTCACGTTAGTTTCAGGCACGCAGCACACTGTCCAGTCCCTGAATTTTTCTTTATAGCTCCGTCATTCTCTTACTCAGTAGATCTTAGAGGGGGTGCTTCTGAATCACCTGGGGAGTTTTTTACAAATTTTGCCTGCATGCCTCATCCTCTGGTAGTGGGACAGAGCCAGGGCAGGACTCTATCGATATATATTTGTAAGGGTCCCCGAATGATTATGGTGGGTGTCTCTGATAACCACCGCCATAACTAGCAGGAAGAGAGCACCACCCAGCTTCAAGTCCCGTTGTGACACTTACCACCTCCTGGTTTAGCAGATAAAATTGAAGCAGTAGTATTGATCTAATCTAGTGTATGAAATTCCTCATTGACTAAACAGAAACATATACAGAGTTACTGATTCAGGAGTCTGTTAAAATAAAAGCTTTCTTTGTTGCTGATTAAGTCTGGTAGAGTATTTCAAAAATATTTCTGCAAGGTCCAGTGTATTTAAGATAATTGAGCCTTGAGTAATTGGGGTCAACCAGAAAGGTTTCCTTTGGTTTGGGGCATAAGAATTTAGAAGAGTACTTAGACTATGTGTAAAGCTGTGGGCTCAGTTTATGAATTACCCTTTGTGCTCCTTTCATGGAAATGACAGTTTGCCTTTTCATCTGTAACTACCTCTGATCTGGGGTAGACAGCGCGCGAGGAGACAGCCCTTGCCTGCTGTCGCCGGCCCTGTTCCAGTCGCGGGTGATCCCTGTGCTGCTGCAGCTGTTTGAGGTGCACGAGGAGCACGTGCGGCTGGTGCTGCTGTCTCACCTGGAGGCCTACGTGGAGCACTTCACTCAGGAGCAGCTGAAGAAAATCATCTTGCCGCAGGTCAGAGATGGCCAGCGAGGAGGGCTGGGGAGAGCGGGCACGGCTAACGGGGGCGCTGAAAGGAAACCGAGGGTTTGGAGCAGGAAGATCCTCGCTTCGGAGGCTCTGAGCAGCAGTTGGGTTTCAAAGCTACTGGCCCACAAAGGGCTGGAATGCAGATTGCATTTCCATTCGCCTCACGCAGGCAAATCAGCTGAACTAACATATTTGGTCTTAACCTGGGAAAACTAATTCTGTTTGCTAATTCTTTGGGGAAAAGGAACAGGAATCCTTTGTGGATGTTTTGTGACAGAAACTGTTAAGTGTCCACAATTAAATACCATAAAATAAATTATAACTGGGGAGCATGAGATGATTCGGACTCGTGGTTTCCAGCCTATTTCTCAGCCTCTGGGGAACTGTGTAATGATTCCCCCTTGCGGGGGATCCAGCTTTATACTGGTTTGCTGGGACTCATAGAACAAATTACCACAAACTGCCTGGCTGAAAACAATAGAAATCTGTTCTCTCCGGGTTCTGGAGGCCGGAAATCTGAAATAACCGTGTCCGTGGGACCGTGCTTCCTCTGAAACCTCTAGGGGAGAAGCCATCCTTACTTTCTTCCCCCTTCCTGGGAGCTCCCGGCAGTCCTTGACTTGGCTTGTAACTGTGGGTCATGCCAATCTGCCTCTGTTGTCATGTGGCCTTTTCCCCTCTGTGTCTTCACTTGGCCTTTTTAAAAAGACACAAGTCATTGGATTTAGGACCCACTCTAACCCAGTGCAACTTCATTTTAAGGTCACATTTTGGGTGGATGTGAATATTTAGGAGACAGTATTCAACTCAGTAGAAGGTTTTAAAAGATTTTGTCAGCCATGTAGTAACTTTCAAATAATTTGTTTGCCTATGAGATTAATTGATTTGCAAATTATTCGTAAGACCTGGCTTTATGCCACGTCTTATGCTTGGGTCCTGGGGCCATAGAGGTATATAATACCTTGCTTTCAAGGAGCTAGGAGGTGGGAAAGATAGGTGTTTGTTATCTGTTGCTGTGTCACAGACCACCCCAAAACTTAGTGCCTGAAATCAACAGTCTCATTTTTGTCTCACAATTCTTTGGATTGACGGGCTCAGTTTGGGGATTCTTTCGTTGCACATGATGTCAGCTGACGAGCAGTCCCCTGGCACCTTGGAGGGGATGGCTGAAAGGCTAGGTTTAGCCGGGCCTCTCTTTCCATGTAGTCTCAGGACGCGTCAGGGCCTCTGTTCCCCTTTGTCATATCTCTAACAGTGTAGGTGGACTTCATACCCGGCTGCCCAGGGCTATGGGAAGCGCCAGAGCGGCCTTTCTGAAGCACAGATTAGGAATGGGCAGTGTCACTTCTGTTCCAGTCTCTTGGTTCGAGTGAGTCGTGCAAGTCAGCCCAGGTTCGTTAGGTGCTACTTTACATAAGCACATGGGTACTAGGGGGACCACAGAGCGGAGGGGCTGGCTTTAGGGCCAAGCAACCACAAGATAGCACGTTGTGTTACTGTTACCCTGATGTAGTTGTGTCTGAAAATGTCGAAGAGGGACGGAGCACTCTCCCTCTGAAATGGAGTTCTCGTAGGTGTCCGAATTGACACTGAGCTGAGCCCAAAGATTGAGTCAGCAGTGTGTGAAAGACAACGAAGGCTCTCCTCTGTAGGGGAATAACTTGGCCAATTTTTTAAAAAAATATTCTGTTTGAGAGAGAGAGAGAGAGTGCGGGCGCAAGTGGGGACGGGCAGGGAGAGAGAATCTGAAGCAAACTCCACACTGAGCGTGGAACCTGACTTGGGGCTCGATCCCACAAGTGCAAGATCACGACCTGAGCCGAAACCAAGAGTCGGATGCTCGACCGACTGAGCCACTAGGCGCCCCACTGGGCCAATATTTATGTGCTATAAAGTTCACTTTGGCAGCAGTGTGGAAGATGGACTGTAGAAAGGGAGATCAGGTAGGAAGCTATTAGAACAGTCCAGCTAAGAGAAGGCAAAGTCTGGGGAGGATGTGGGGACAGTGGTTATGGGAGAGGGACATAAAAAGGGTAGAAGGGTAGGATAGGACTCAGCTTCTCATGAGAGAGGCAAGGTTTGAGGATGACTCTTGGATTTGTGGCTTGGGTGGTTTGTTATTTTATAATTACCTTAGTGGTTGGAATTCTAATCATTTTCGAAAGAAACACACTTTAATTTATTTGTACAGCTTTGTTTTGAGAAAGTGCATGATTTGTTAGTATCGGACCTGATAACTGTCTTATTGAGTCTTGTTGGAAATCTTGATCTTAGATAAATGAGGTAACTGGACCAGAAAAATTAAAGGATGAGTCAAGTCATAATGAGAATTCCTAGAGGAGCTGGCACCAGAACCCAGGATTCCTGGTACCCATGATGCCATGCTCCCGCCACTGGGGAGGCCGGTTACCCTGGCCCTCTATCTATCTGGCCGGTGCAGGTGCTTTGCACACCATCTTCCTCACACAGGTCTTTGCCGGTTCAGAGCAAAGCTTCTCCTGAGACCTGCATGTGACTGTCGTAGTTGAGTTTCTTTTGGTTGCAAGTAACTGAAGCCCACTTAAACGAGCTAAAGCCAAAAAAAAAGACTTTAATAAAAGGATGTCAGAACTGCCTTAAATGGAAATCAAGTGCAGCTGGGACTCAGCCACATGCTCTTCATTCCTTTCCTTTCTCTTTTGATCTGTCCCACTTTTGACTTTCCGAAGACTAGCTTTCATTGTTTGATGTACACATGGCCAAACATGGTTGTCCCCATAGCTTCCAAGTTTATTGTCCATAATTATAGCAAGGCACAGAGGTAACCAGTTTCTCCACATTCCAGTTAATGCTGGAAAGAGATCATAGTTGGCTCAGTTTGGGCAGGTGTTATGTGCATCAGATACAGACAGTTTTCCAAGTCCTATCCTTTTGCATGTGTAAAGCTGGGAAGAGGGGCAGGGGCTAGGGACGTAAGTGTGAGGGACGTAGACAAGTGGTTCTAAGTGTGCTCAGTAGACACCGCCTGTCTCTGAACTATGTTTATGGTCCTGCAATGACGTGCGTACAGATAAGGAGAATGAACATGTAAAGCGGTCTTTTAATTGAGATATAATTTACATATAACCTATTAGTTTCAGGTGTACCACATGATTCAGTATTCGTACATATTGTGAAAGGATCACCACAGTAAGACTTGTTAGCATTTGTCACCATACATAGTTTACTAAATTCCTTTTTCTTTGATGAGAACTTTTAAGATTTATGTTCTTAGCAACTTTATGCAATACAGTAATATTAGTGATAGTCACTATGCTGTATATTACATGCCCATGACTTTTTTTTTTTAAGATTTATTTATTTACTTGAGAGAGAGAGTGAACACGGGGAGGGGCAGAGGGAGAGATTGGCTTTAGCGGACTCTGCTGAGCGTGGAGCCTGACACGGAGCTAGATCTCACAACCCTGAGATCATGACCTGAGCCGAAACCAGCAATCAGACACTTAACCGACTCTGCCACCCAGGGACCCCTGACTTATTTATTTTATAACTGAAAATTTGTACCTTTTGACCCCTTCACCCATTTTGGCCCCTCCTCACCATCCTCGTTCCTATCTCTGGCACCACCAATGTGTTCTCTCTATGAGCTTGTTTTGTTGTTGTTCTGTTATTTTTATTTTTAAAGATTTTTAAATTTGGGGGGCGCCTGGGTGGCTCAGATGGTTAAGCGTCTGCCTTCAGCTCAAGTCCTGATATTGAGCCCTGCATTGGGGCTCCCTGCTTAGCTGGGAGTCTACTTCTCCCTCTGCCCACTGCGCCCCCTCCCTCAGCTCATGCTCGCTCACTCTCAAATGAATAAATACAATCTTTTTTTAAAAAAGATTTTAAAATTTTAATTAAGTAATATCCACACCCAACATAGGGCTTGAACCCACAACCCTGAGATCAAAAGTCGCACGCTCCACTGATTGAGCCAGCTAGGTGCCCCTGTTTTGTTCTTTTTACATTCCACATATAAGTGAGATCATATGGTATTTGTCTTTCTGTCACTTATTTCACTCAGCATAATGCTCTCAAAGTCTATCCATGTTGTTGCAAGTGGCAAGATTTTGTTTTTTATATGGCTCAGTGATACTCCTATATGTATGTGTGTATAAAATCACATTTTCGTTATTCCTTCGTCCATTGATGGATAATTAGGTGTCCATATCTCAACTGTTGTAAATAATGCTGCAGGGAACATGGTGGGGGGGGGTGTTAAGTGTAAATTAAGTATAAGTTAGTGTTTATGTTTTCTTTGGATAAAATCCCAGAAGTGGAATTGCTGGATCTTATGGTAGTTCTTTTCCTTTCTTTTCTTTCTTTCTTTTTTTTTTTTTTTAACTTCTTGAGGAACCTCCATGTTGTTTCCACAGTGGCTGCATCGGGGCTCCCTCTTCCCACATCCTCACCAGCACTTGTTACTTCTTGTCTTTTTGATAAAAGCCATTCTCATAGGTATGAGGTGATAGCTCATTTGTCCTGATACATCACTTTGACAATATCATTGACTATACTCTGTTAGTCTGTTATTTGCAGTGCCTGTTATTTCCATGACTTACTCAGGCCGTAACTGGAAGCCTGAGCCTCCCACGGCCCTTCCCCCCTTGTGCCCAACCTTGTTCGCCCTCCCCTCTGGCAACCATCAGTTTGTTCTCTGTATTTACAGGTCTGATTCTGCTTTTTGTTTGCTTATTCATTTGTGTGTTTTTTATTTTTTAATTTATTTTTAAAGATTTTATTTATTTATTAGAAAGAGTTCAAGCAGGGGGAGCAGCAGGGAGAGGGAGAAGCAGGCTCCCCACTGAGCAGGGAACCCAACGTGGGCTGGATCCCAGGACCTTGAGATCACGATCTGAGCCGAAGGCAGATGCTTAGCCGACTGAGCCACCCAGGCATCCCTGTTTTGTTTTTTAGATTCCACTCATGAAATCAGTTCATGAGTGGAATCAGTTCACTCATGTGAAATCACATGGTGTTTGGCTTTCTTAGTCTGATTTATTTCACTTAGCGTAATCCCCTTTAGGTCCATCCATGTTGTCGCAAATGGCATATCTCATCTTTTGTTATGGCTGAGTAGTATTTATATATGCTGCATCTTTCTTACCATTTGTCTCTTGATGGACACTTAGGTTGTTTCCCTGTCTTGGCTATTGTAAATAACATTGCAGTAAGCATGGGTCAAATTAGTGTTTGGTATTATTTCTTCTTTGAATGTTTAGTTATAATTCACTTGTGAAACCATCTGATCCTGGACTTTTGTTTGTTGGGAGTTTTTGGATTATTCGGTCTCCTTACTAATAATCAGCCTGTTCAGATTTTCTGTTCCTTTATGATTCAGTCTTAGTAGGTTGTATGTTTCTAGGAATTTATCCATTTCTTCTATTTTTCTAATTTGTTGGCATGTAATTATTCATAGTAGTCTCTTATCCTTTGTATTTCAGTGGTATCGATTGTAACATTCATTTCTGATTTTATTTACGTCCTCCTTTTTTCTTGATGTGTTTAGGTAAGGCTTGTCAATTTTATCTTTTCAAAGAACCAGCTCTTGGTTTTGAATTTTTTCTTTTGTTTTTTAGTTTCTATTTCGTTTGTTTTTTCATTTATTCTTTTTCTAGTTCTTTGAGGTATAAAGTTAATATTTGAGATTTTTTTGTTTCTTGAGGTAGGCATTTATCACAGCGAATTCCCCTCTTAGAACTGCTCTTGCTGCATCCCATAAATTTTGGTGTGTTGTTTTTCCATTTTCATTTATCTCATAAGGTTTTTTTTTTCTCCTTTGATTTCTTCTTTGACCCATGGGTTGTTCAGTAGCATGTTTAATCTCTATGTAGTTGTGAATTTCCCAGTTTTTTTCTTATAATTGATTTCTAGTTTTATACCATTGTGGTTGGAAAAGATGCTTTGATATGGTTTCAGTCTTCTAAATGTATTGAGACTTGTTTTGTGGCCTAACATGTGATCTGTCCTGGAAAATGTCCCATGTGCACCTGAAAAGAATGTGTTTTCTGTGTTTGGATGGAGTGTTCTGTGTGTATCTGTTAGGTCCATCTAGTCTAATGTGTCATTCAAAGCCCTTGTTTCCTTGTTGATTTTATGTCTGATTTATCCATTGATGTAGGTGGGGTGTTGAAGTCACCTACGATTACTGTTACTATCAGTTTCTCTAGGTCTGTTAATACTTCTCTGTGTATGTGGGCACTCCTGTGGTGGGTACATAGGTATTTATTAATTAGTATATCCTCTTGTTGGATTGATCCCTTTATCATTATGTAGTGTTCTTCTTTGTCTCCTGCTGCAGTCTTTGTTTTAAAGTCTGTTTTGTCTGATACAAAGTATTGCCTCCTCAGCTTTTCTTCACTTCCAGGTGCATTGAATATCTTTTTTAGTCCCTTCCCTTTCAGTTAGTATGTCTCTAGGTCTGAGTGAGTCTCTTGTAGGCAGCATATTGTGGGGCCTTGTTTTTTATCTATTCAGTCACCCTGCCCCTTTTGATGAGAGCATTTAGTCCATTCACATTTAAAGTAATTATTGATAGATATGTACTCATGGCCATTTTTAAAATTGTTTTCTGGTTGTTTTTATAGTTCTTCTCTTGCTCTCTCCTGTTGTGGTTTGATGGTTTTCTAGTGTTGTGCTTGGATTCCTTTCTCTTTTACTTTTTCTGTATCTATTACAGGTGTTTGATGTGTGGTTACCATTAGGTTCACATATAAAATCTTATGTGCATAGCAGCCTGTGCTAAGTTGATGGTCACTTCAGTGCTTTCTTTAGAACGTTAAGTTTGAACTTAATTTTTACTCCCCTTTTATGTATATGAGGTCATATTTTACATCTTTTTTTGTGTGTTCCTTGACTGATTTTTGTAGATCATATTTGATTTTACTTCTTTTGTGTCTTAACCTCCACATTGGCTTAAAAGTGATTAATCTACTGCTTTTACTATATATTTGCTTTTACCTGTGAAATTTTTTCCTTTCATAATTTTCTTTTTTCTTTTTTTTTTTAAGATTTTATTTATTTATTTGACAGAGAGGTAGAGAGCACAAGTAGGCAGAGTGGCAGGCAGAGGGAGAGGGAGAAGCAGGCTCTCCGCTGAGCAGGGAGCCAGACATGGGGGTCGATTCCAGGACCCCAGGATCATGACCTGATTCGAAGGCAGCCGCTTAACCAACTGAGCCACCCAGGCGCCCCCCTTTCATAATTTTCTTACTATGGATTATGTCCTTTTCTTTCCACTCAAATAACTCCTTTTAACATTTCCTTTAGTAGGAAATGTAAAAGGCCAGTTTAGTAGTGATGAACTCCTTTAACTTTTGTCTGGGAAACTCTGTCTCTCCTCCTATTCTGAAAGATAACCTTACTGGGTAGAGTATTCTTGGTGGCAGGCTTTTTCCTTTCAGTATTTTGATTATCATGCCATTCCCCCTGGACTGCAGAGTTTCTGCTGAAAAATAAGCTCATAGCCTTATGGGATTTTACTTGTCTGTAACTGCTTTTTTCTTGTTGCTTTTAAAATTCTCTCTTGATCATTACCTTTTGTCATTTTAATTATAATGTGTCTAGGCATGGATCTTCTTAGGTTAATCTTGTTAGAGGGCCTCTTTGCTTCTTGGACCTGGATGTCTGTTTCCTTCCCCACATTAAGGATGTCTTCAGCTATTATTTCTTCAAATAGGTTTTCTGCTTCTTTTCTCCCCTCCTATGGGATTCATGTAATGCCAATGTTACTGTGCTTGATGATATCACTGAATTCCTTTAACCTATTCTCATTTTTTATTATTTTTTTTTCTTCTTGCTGTTCAGTTTGGGTGCTTTCCATTAGCCTGTCATCCAGGTCACTGATCTGTTCTGCATTCACTAATCAGCTGATATTTCCATTAGTATATTTTTTATTTACTGAATTCTTCATCTCTGATTCTTTTTTATATTTTCTACCTCTTTGTTGAAATTCTGCAGTCATCCATTCTTTTCTCAAGTCCAGTGAGTGTCTTTATGACCATTACTTCGAATAAGGCATTTTGCTTATCTCCATTTCATTTAGCTCTTTGGTTGTGACTTTGTTCTTTCATTTGGGACATAATCCTTTGTTTCTTCATTTTCTCTCTCTTTCTACGTATTAGCGTAGTCAGCTGCATCTTGAAGGTAGTGGCCTTGTGTGGAAGAGGTCCTGTGGTGCCCTGAAGTGCATTCCCTGCCAGGTCATCAGTCGCAGGCGCTCCAGGGGTGTCTCCTGTGTGGGCTGTGTGTACCCTACTGTCGTAGCTGAGCCATGTCTGCCTTTAGCCCAGTCAGCTCTGGTGACCCACTTTGCCTGCTGTGGGCACACTGGACAGTGTGGTCCCTGCACTGTTGAGAGGCCGGAAGCTGCTGTGGGTTCATTGGTAGGTAGGGCCAGCGGTCAGCCCCTCTGCCACAGGTGTAGGCTCTTGTCACTCTGTCTTTCGATTGGAGTATTTAGATTCTCCAAGAATTTGGAGAGTCCTCTACAGCCATAGCATCCTGAACCACCCTGTCTCAGCTGATCCGACACTAAGCTGGGTCAGGCCTGGTTAGTAGTTGCTGGGAGGTCTCCTCGGAATACTGGATGCTGTCAGCTTAAAAGAGCTGAGGTCTCCACAGCGCTCAGCTGCCTTTGGTCCTGGGGCAGGAGCAGACCAGCATCATGGACAAGTCTAGAACCTTTTATAGCAGTTTAACAGTAATTTTGTTATTTCCAATGTATTTATTTTTGTTACTGTATCTTCAACAATGTATCAGACCGTGATTGATTGGGAGGGGAAAATACTGGTTCTTGACCACAGACAGAGGGAGAGCTACTGACCTTGGACACCTATGGAAGAAAAAAGTCATCTGAGCAAGCAGTCTGATCGCAGCCCAGCCGCTTGTTTATGGGGAAAGAAGACAGGCAGCATGGCTGGGTACACTTACGACCTGATTTGCTCCTAGGTGTTACTGGGCTTGCGTGATACCAGCGATTCCATTGTGGCAATTACTCTTCACAGCCTAGCAGTGCTGGTGTCTTTGCTTGGACCAGAGGTGGTTGTGGGAGGAGAAAGAACCAAGATCTTCAAACGCACTGCCCCAAGTTTTACGAAAACGGTCGACCTCTCCCCAGAAGGTAAAAATGATTAAAAAGTATAGCTTTTTAATTTTAAATGTTTAATTAGATTTTTGACATTATACAATAATGCAGGTGGGTTGTCTTCAGTCAAATGATAGAGAATGGTAAAGAGTAATTTCCCTCTCCCAGTTCCTTCTGGGTGTGTAAGGTAACCATTTTTAATAGTTCAGTGGCAATCTTTTCTTCCCTTTTTCTACCCCACAAAGACACACAGATGTATCTTTATACACACATGCCCATATATAGGATTTTTTAACAAAACAATGAGAAAATACTATGTGCAATTCTGCAACTTAATTTTTTTGTGTAGTGGCTTATCAGGAACTGGTCTCCAGGTCAATACATAGAAACACCTTTTTTGACAGCTGCCTAATATTTCATTGAATTCATTCAGTGGTATCCCTATTGGTGGATATTGCTTTCATTTCTGGATGTTACATTGCTGCGGTAGAGGTCTTCTATGTACCTGTATCTTTATGTTGTTTGGCTTTTATTGCTAGAGGATAAAATCCCAGAAGTAGACCTACCGAGTCAAAGGGTATATATTTAAAATTTTAATAGATACCATCTGGCACGTTCTAAAAAGTTTGTAGCAACTTGTAACACTAGACGTTTAAGTTTTTCTGATGTTGATGGCCTTTTAGGTAAAAAGCTGTTGATTTTTAAGTACTTCAAGAAATCCTTATTTCTGGTCTGTTCTCATTGGATGTTACATGGGATGGAGCAGTGATTTCTGGTCTTTGTAGGCTGTAAAAGTCAAGAATAAGAATTTTGTATCAGAGTCATTGCTTCCTTGGTCCTTGGTTTAACCCTGACTGGGATGGTGACCTTGTTAGGAAACGCAGATCTTGGATTCCGTTCTCATGGACGGTGAATTCGATAGCACAGAAACAGTCACAGTTTTCCCTAATTTTGATCCCAGGAGAGTCTTTAAAGCAACACTGGCTTCCTGAAGTTTTGATAATTCCAACTCTTCTTGGTGCTAATGAAGTCAGTGTCAGTCAGGAGCTTGAAGAGGGTGAAGAAGAAGCTGTGCCCCCTCTCCGACCAGGCTATGTTCATACTACATTGAGTGAACGAAGTCTGTGTGTGACTGGTTTTTCTCATAGCAGAGTACACCAAACAGCAAATGAGAGATGTATTTATATTTCATACCAGAGGAATTTGGGGGGGGATGGTAGTAGTGGTATGTGTAGTTTTGAGATAAGACTGGGGAGTCCATCTCTGAGGGCAGCTTTGCATGTTGAATTAGCAAGAACCCCACTCCTCATACCTGTTGTATTTATTGGATGCAGTTTCCTAGCTCTGGACATTTTATATACTGTTGACCTGTAATCTTAGTAAGAAACCAAAAGACACCAAAGCAGGAGTACCAAATGAATTTTTATTAAAATAGATGTTCCTGAAGACTTTATAAGACAGAATAACGTCTAATCCCACTGACTTCCCAAATTAGTTAAGCTCTTCATCCAAGATGGCTGTTGAGCCCTGGCGGCAGCCTGCGCTTCCCAGTTTCCAGTTAAGAGTGGCCCTTCTTCTGAGGGACGTGGGAGAATGCTGGGGAGGGGGCACGTATACAGGAGGGTACCCTTGGACTTTTTTTTTCTCCTTCTGTTCTTCTGCAGTTTACCTATATGGTCAGACTTAATATGGGATAATACTAAGGCTTATGAAAAGGGTACTTCAGGAAAATAAGTCTGCGTGGAAGAGCATTGGAGAAGGGGACACTGGATAAGAGACATCGGTAGGCCCTTGGCAGGGAGGATGGTGGCAGAGCAAGCAAGAGGGTACAGGGCTTGCAGAGGTCAGGCCTTGGAGGGCAGGCAAGGCCTCCGTGTGATGATGTACCCCAGGCAGAGGAAGTATTAAGCCAAAAATTTTGCTGGAATGTTTTTGACCAAAGCCCACTGTTGAGTATAAGCTTTCTGGTAAACCATTAAAGACAACTTTTTTTTTTTTTTTGGAAACAATTTCCCCCCAGCTGGGAGTTAAACATCTGCTATAACATAAAATTTATCAATTTTTAACTGTACAGTTTGTGGCATTAAGTACATTCACATTGGTGTGCTTGTACTCTTAGACTTTGTATTCTTAAAAGTAGAATCAATTATGATTGTAAATTGCCAAAATGTTCAAAGCCATTAACTTTTGTAAGTAGGTATCCTAAAGGTTATATCTAATCAACTCCTCAGCTAATGCTTGAATCCTTTCGAGTCCCTTAACATCATGTAGACACTCACCTGCCCTGAAACACCTTGAGGACCGGCAGTCCACTGCATAACAGGTGTGTTTCTTCAGATATCTGAAGATGCTCTCTCCCTGCAACTTACCTTTTAACTGTGTTAAATAGACCCATTTCCCTTAACTGTTGCTCACCTACCCTGATAGAGCAAGAAGCAATTTACTATCCCTTTTATTTTTGGGAGTTTCTGTTTATCTTCAGATGTTCCCCCGCATGTCGTCTGTAGCCAGCAGACTCAGATGGCGCCAGTCGTGGAGAAGCCCTCCTCTGGCACATTCCCTAAATGTTTCTTTTCTGGCAGCATGCCCGTCAGCAAGAAGCACATACAGCAAGATTGCTACAATACTCTTTTACAGACAGGTAGAAATACTCAATTTATGTAGCTTTTCCACTGTTTAGATGAATGTTTTCCTGAGTACTGAGTTTTAAATTCTGAAAATTAAGGGCACTTTGGGAGTATTGAGGCTGACTTCTGTTATCACTTACAACTCTATAGTCAGCTGGGTCTCCTCTGCTTTTCCTGGACAGGGCATAGACCTTCCATTTTTTCATAACTGGTGAGGAGAGCTGGCTGACATTACTTTGGTACTTCTCATGCTTTAGTGTAGCATTTTCCAAATTGTATCAGAGGATGATAGTTCTCTTAGATGGCAGTAGGTATGCCATGAAAAAGAGAGTTGTGTGGTTAAGTAAGTTTGGGGAAATGTTAGTAGCAGAGTCCTGACACATTGCACAAAATTCCAGAGCCTTGACTACATTTAAGGAAATCTGTTTAAAATGAGGGTATGTTAGGGGCACCTGGGTGGCTCAGTCGGTTAAGCATCTGACTCCTGATTTGAGCTCAGGTGAAGGGATGAAACCCTGTGTCGGTCTCTGTGCTGGGCATGGAGCCTGCTTGAGATCCTCTCTCTAAAAATAAATAAATAAAATTTAAAAAGTAAAATTAGGGTATATTGGGTTAAGACAAACTTATTTGAGCACACAACACTTCTTGGGGTTAACACTGCCTGGCTTAGAACATTTCTATATTTGTTTATAGATAATTATGCCAATAAACAATATGCTTGAATATTTAGTGAAGGACTGTATGCTCCAGTTAAAGTATTTGAATAACTTATATCACATCTTCTGTTCTGCTGGGATATCTCTTTTGTAGGTACAGTTTAGTAACCTGTGTTACCCTTTTCCTTTTGTTTGCTCTTAATACTTCATGAGAGTAATTTTTGTATATATCCCCACAGGTGATCAATTTCTTCAGCCTATTAAATTTCCCATGAATGGACTCTCAGATGTGAAAAATACCTCGGGAGATAGTGAGAACTTCCCACCAAGTTCTAAAAAGTCTGAGGAGTGGCCTGACTGGAGTGAGCCTGAGGAGCCTGAAAACAAAGCTGTCAGCATCCAGATTTGTCCCACAGAAGCCTACGATGCCTCCACATCCCCACTCACTAACGTGAACGCGGAGGAGGTGGTGTGGGATGACTTTGAATCCAGCAGCTTAGATACTGAAATAAGTGCAAGAGGTGGAGTCTCAGCTGTCAGCCGGGGTACCTCAGGGGAACAGGAGGCTATTTCTACTTTGGTTTCACTCACTGAAGAGTCCAAGCCTTTGAAATTGAGTCTACCCCAAAAGACCAATCTTGCACAAAGTGGGGATGACCCAGACCAAACCAAGCCACCAAAAGTGTCATCCCAAGAAAGGCGCCTTAAGGTTCCATCAGAACTTGGTTTAGGAGAGGAGTTTACCATTCAAGTAAAAAAGAAGCCAGTACAAGATCCAGAGTTGGACTGGTTTGCTGATATGATTCCAGAAATTAAGCCTTCAGCTGCTATTCTTATTTTGCCTGAACTGAGGACAGAAATGATGGTTTCTGACAAGGATGACGTCTCACCAGTGATGCAGTTTTCCTCAAAATTTGCTGCAGCAGAGATGACTGAGGTGAGGCTTAGTAAATCGTGCTACTAGTTTAAAGGGTGCCCTTGTACATAACCGGTTGCAAGGTCTCGTTGATAACAGACTTGCTGTTTTCCTGGTGAGGGAAGAGTCGAACACACACATTTGCTTACGGTGATGGGTGAAGCACAAAATGAATATGATCAGTTTCTATAAATGCTGACTTTCCTTCCCCAGAAAGAAGTAGCAATGCTTAGACTTAGGTGTTTAATGGGCCGCTAGTTACTATTATAACCTTTTTACTTAAAAAGGGGTTAAACCAAGAATAGGGTATCATCAGATAGATTTTATTGTATTTATATGGTCCTTGGAAAGTTATTTTCCAATGTTTTGGTCTTGTAAATCTGGAACCAAAGTAATCCTCCTCCTCTTCAGCTTCCTGTTGCAGTAAGTTATTTTACCTAGCGCGAGGAGATCTCTTCCAGCATAAAAGGCAAGTGTTAGGCCTCTTTAAATTCAGAAATGATTTGTCTCAGCAGCCTGCCCTTGGTTTGCTTTATCTTGCTGCAGGGAGAGTCTGAAGGCTGGGGAGACGAAGGGGAGCTGAACTGGGAAGATAATAACTGGTGACAACGGGTATAACTTTAGGGAAAAGGATTTCTTTAAAAAAAAAAAAAAAAATCAAACTAATACCTCAAAGTGGGCTCTGCAGACAAGAAAACCCAGAAGCATCTGTTTTTCCCATCTGTGCCAACTGAAGCTCGAGCCCCCGAGTGCTGGCTGGTGCCCCAGCAGCGAAGAGCCCCAGCGCTGGTTTTGCGGAGGAGGAGCTCGTGTGCGTCTGACAGGCCAGTTTCTGTGAAGAGCAAATAGCTATGGAAAGGTTGAATTTACTGCTTTTTTCCAGGACAATTCCAGAAGAAAATAAATACAAAAATTCAAGCTGATTAGCTTAATTTTGTGCCATTTCTTTAACAGAAGAGTAAGCTTTATTATGAAATACAACTATGGAAAAAATTTTAGCTGTAAAGTATATAAATAATTTTAAATTGCTAAGGTTTCCTTAGGCAGCTTATTTATTTGTTTACAGTTGTACTGTCTGTGGCCCTATGGGTACCTGGGCAGTCCCTGACTGTTCCACATGTATTACATGTACCAAAGTTCTTCACGAGAAATCTCCCCCACCACCTGTTCTCTAAACATCCAATAAAGACTATTTTCACTAGATTCAACTTTACAAAAGTTGTTTTATATGTGTTAGAAAACGCATAGTTACATCAATATATTCATTTACAAAGTATCGTGTAGGATGGTAAAAATCACACCCTGTTCTGTCTAGTGGTAACACAGTCTAGTCCATTCAAGGGCCACCCTAGAGTACATGTCGTTTCAGCTCATCAATCCTTTCTTGGAGCATCTCCATTTTCAGTAGAAGCCAGTCTGGAGCAGGAGACTTTTGGAGTAAGGACTCAATTGCCTCCAAGGCCCCTGATGCTGCTTGCAGTGCTGACCTGTACTCTTCTTCCAAGGGGAACTCCTGACGTGGTCTTTTTGCATAAGGCTGGCAAATGAGAAAAACACGGGATAAGTAATGCCATGATACCCATTCCCAAGATGATCAAAAACTTTCTTTTGGTATTTCTAAAACTGTAAAATTTTATGTGCAAATTTTATTTTGTCAATGGCTCACAAGGGCAGGAGGGAACGACCACCCCTGTATCACCTAGAAAAATATGTGAAGGCATTTCTGGTTTGTCACAGCGATTCAGGGTACTACTACCATTAGGGTCCAAGGAAACTAAGAGGAATGCTGCCTTGTCCAGCAATTTCCAGAGTATTCTTTGGAAATATCTTGTCCTGACAAAAAAGCCCCAAGTATGCGTTTTCTAAATGGTTCCAGTTTACTTTTTAACGTTAAGTGCTGTGGTCTTTCAGATGCTTTTCAACCCAATTCAATAAATTGTCAGGCTTTCTAACATCACTGCACTGGGGTGGGGATCAGGACCAGGACGTCTTTTGTAATCAGTCTTCCTAAGGAAGGTCATAAATTCTTGAGGGCTTATTTACAGCAATGCTATGTAACTTTTAGGCCTGAAATCTATAAAGTTAAATATGTCTTGAAAACAAGTTATTAACACAAACTTTCTTTATATAAGAGTTGTAAATAAAACTCAACAAAATATTGTTCCTCTTAGGGATTGCTATTCTAAATACCCTATCAGAGGAGGGGGGAAAGATGGTGGAGGACTAGGGGACCCTATTTCAACTGGTCCCCGGAATTGAGCTGGATATCTACCAGACCACTCTGAGCACCCACGAAACCAGCCTGAGATGTAAGAAGATCTGGACCTCTACAAGCAGAATATCGCAGGCAGTTGGTTTTGAGGTATGAAGCAGGGAGCCCTGATTCCACGGGCAGATATCGGAGGATAAACGGCAGTGGGAGGGTGCCTGGCTGTGGGGATCCTACACCGTCTGTGAGCGACAGCCTTGCACACTGGGGACGGGGCACAGACTCGCAGACCGGTAGCAGCGAGGAAAGGACTTTAGGGCAGTCCCCGGGGCGGAAACCTGGAGCGGCGGGGTCACGCACACGCAAACTGGGAGCAGCTGGCGGTTTTAGAAGCACAAAGGGCAGAGACGTGCCCCAACCTGAAGGCAGGACTGGGAGCGCTGCGGAGGGGTGCACAACCCAGGATGCTGCAGTTTATAGCAGCACGGACAGAAACGGAGATGGTGTGGCCTGGAGAGCTCACTGAAGAACAGACTGAGGTCTCTCTGCTCTGAGGCAGAGGGTTGGAAACGGTCTCTTCTGCTCTGACTCGCAGAAGAGACATGGAAAGCAGCCAGGGAAAGGCGCCAGAGAACAAAAGCCCCAAAGACTGATTCCCACTGAGCCCATCCCCTTCCACAGAGGGGCAGGGCAACTCCGGCCAAACAGGGTTGCCTGAGTAACAGCGCGGCAGGCCCCTCCCGCAGAAGACAGGCTGGGAAAACAAGAGGCCAGCAACCCTAAGGTCCCAAGAAAACAGGTGCATCTTGCTTGGGTTCTGGTCAATAATTTGGACTCTATACATTCCCTCAAACACCCATCAACAGAATGACTAGGAGGAGGAGCGCCCCCAAAACAGGAAAGACTCAGAGATTATGACTTATGCTGCAGATTTACAAATGGATTCAGATATAACTAAGATGTTGGAGATGGAATTCAGGCTAGCAATTGTGAAGACAATAGCCAGAATGGAGAAATCAATTAATGGCAACACAGAGTCTCTAAGGGCAGAAATAAAAGGGGAATTGGCAGAACTTAAAAATGCTATCAGTGAGATCCAATCCAATCTAGATAATCTAACAGCTAGGGTAACTGAGACAGAAGAGAGAATAAGCGATCTGGAAGACAGTATAATAGATAAAAAGGGAAAAGAGGAGGCCAGGGAAAAACAACTCAATCCATGAAAAGAGAATCAGAGAAATAAGTGACACCATGAAGCGTTCCAATGTCAGAATAATTGGTATCCCGGAGGGAGTGGAGAGAGAGAAAGGACTAAAAGATATATCTGAGCAAATGATAGCTGAGAACTTCCCTAATCTGGGAAATGAAACAAACATTCAAGTCCTAGAGGCAGAGAGGACCCCTCCCAAGATCAAGGAAAACAGGCCAACACCCCGGCATCTAATAGTAAAACTTGCAAATCTTAGAACCAAGGAAACCATCTTAAGGGCAGTTAGAGGGAAGAGATTCCTTACATACAGAGGGAGGAACATCAGAATAACGTCAGACCTATCCACAGAGACCTGGCAAGCCAGAAAGGACTGGCAAGACATATTCAGGGTATTAAACAAGAAGAACATGCAGCCAAGAATACTTTATCCGGCAAGGCTTTCATTTAGAATGGATGGAGAGATGCAGAGCTTCCACGACTGGCAGAAACTGAAAGAATATGTGACCACTAAGCCAGCCCTGCCAGAAATATTAAATATTAAGAACTTAAATATTAAGGGCGCCTGGGTGGCTCAGACGGTTGGGCGTCTGCCTTCGGCTCAGGTCATGATCCCAGAGTCCTGGGATCGAGTCCCGCATCGGGCTCCCTGCTCCTTGGGAGCCTGCTTCTCCCTCTGCTTCTCTCTCTCTCTCTGTCTCTCATGAATAAATAAATAAAATCTTAAAAAAAAAAATTAAAAAAAAAAAAATTAAAAAAAAAAAAAATTAAATATTAAGTTCTATAAAAGGAGAAAGACCCCAAAGGTGATATACAACAAATTTACAGGGACAATCTGTAAAAACAAGGTCTTCACAGGCAACATGATGACAATTAATTCATATCTTTCAATAATCATTCTCAACGTGAATGGCCTAAATGCTCCCATAAAACGGCACAGGGTTGCAGATTGGATAAAAAGACAGGACCCATCCATATGCTGTCTACAAGAGACTCATTTTGAACCTAAAGATACATCCAGACTGAAAGTGAAGGGATGGAGATCCATCTTCCATGCCAGCAGACCTCAAAAGAAAGCTGGGGTAGCAATTCTTATATCAGACAAATTAGATTTTAAACTAAAGTCTAATTAGAGACACAGAAGGACACTATATCATTCTTAAAGGGACTATCCAACAAGAAGATCTAACAATTGTAAATATCTATGCCCCCAACATGGGAGCAGCCATCTACATAAGCCAACTGTTAACCAAAATAGTCATATTGATAACAATATGTTAATCATAGGAGACCTCAATACTCCACTCTCAGCAATGGACAGATCATCTAAGCAGAAAATCAACAAGGAAACAAGAGCTTTGAATGATACATTGGACCAGATGGACCTCATAGATATATACAGAAATTTCCACCCTAAAACAACAGAATACTCATTCTTCTCGAGCACACACGGAACTTTCTCCAGAATAGACCACATACTGGGTCACAAATCAGGTCTCAACCGATACCAAAAGATTGAGATTATTCCCTGCATATTCTCAGACCCTAATGCTTTAAAACTGGAACTTAACCACAAGAAAAAATTGGAAGAAATTCAAACACTTGGAAGCTAAAGACCACTCTGCTCAAGAATGTTTGGGTCAAACAGGAAATCAAAGAACTTAAACAATTCATGGAAACCAATGAGAACGAAAACACATCAGCCCAAAACCTATGGGATACTGCAAAGGCGGTCCTAAGGGGGAAATACATAGCCACCCAAGCCTCACTCAAAAAATAGAAAAATCCCAAATTCCCCAACTAACTCTACACCTTAAAGAACTAGAGAAAAAGCAACAAATGATGCCTAAGCCACGCATTAGAAGAGAAATAATTAAAATTAGAGCAGAAATCAATGAATTAGAAACCAGAAACACAGATCAGATCAACAAAACTAGAAGGTGGTTCTTTGAAAGAATTAATAAGATCGATAAACCACTGGCCAGACTTATCCAAAAGAAAAGAGAAAGGACCCAAATTAATAAAATTATGAATGAAAGGGGAGAGATCATGACTAACACCAAGGAAATAGAAACAATTATTAGAAATTATTAACAACTATATGCCAATAAACTGAGCAATCTGGATGAAATGGAGGCCTTCCTGGAAACCTATAAGCTGCCAAGACTGAAACAGGAAGAAACTGACAACCTGGATAGGCCAATAACCAGTAACGAGATTGAAGCAGTGATCAAAAAACCTCCCAA